ATCTGGAGCCCGTGACGATGGCCGGCGACGCCCGCAGCGGTTCAGATTCTTAGTTTGGGAATCACGCTTTGCAGGCGGGAAACGAGCCGTTGTGCGTACGGCGCAGCAAGTTCGTCAATCGGGGTAAGTCTTGTCCCGTCAACATCATGTGCCTTGGCGGTGCATTGCCTGTCTGTCAGGAGCAATTACCGAGGCGATTCGGAGCCAACGTGCTTACCCATGCAATATCACACGATGTAAAAAATAAAAGAAGAAAAATCCTTTGGAAAAAAAGGAGGAATGAGGTCCGGTGCGGAGAGTCCCGATCCCCAGACGGGGGCGAAAGCCGAGGTGCGGTCTAGACGCTAGGCTCGTCTGGGGAATTGTGGTTCCTGGGGTTTCCCCTGGGATACGTACCGCCACGAGGAGGAGACGGGGAGGGCAGGTGATTGGACCGTGGAATGGAGAAATTCTCGGACGGTGGCCGGACTGACTCGGGATCTGGTCTAGAACTGATGCGCGCGGTTCGTGTGGGAGGTGGGAGCGAAGGAAGGGTTGGGGTTTTTCGGGGTCTTGTGGAGGAGGAGAAGGAGAAGAAGAAGAGTGGTCCCAGAGGATTCAAAAGAGAGGCGAGCTGTCCGCTGGGTGTGTTTTATCACGAACATGAAAGACGTGAGGAGAGAGACGTCTTCGTGGCACAGCTTCCAGAACACTGCACAGAATGGACGATGGATGGCCGACAGTATCCGAGCTCACGTCAAACGAACGCCCGAGCATGCTGAGCACTGCAAGTATCTCCCAGTCTGACACTCGGCACTGACCGTTGGTTGGTGGTGTTTTCCTGTTTGTTTCTGTCCTTGTTTCCTCTGCGAGTAGCTGCTGGTGGTGTTAGGTATGAAAGGTACGTACCACATGCCTCAGGCCCAATGCTTAAGCTCCAACTCTGAAGCATTAGCTAAGCACCCCCGAGCTCCCCTGGCCAATCATCAGCTACCCCGCTTCCCCCAAACCAGGCCCCTGCGCCTTCCGTCGGCGCATCCAAGGGACGCACTGCAGTAAGGGAAGGTACCTCGTGATTGAGATTCCCCCGCACTCCCTGACGCTGCGCCGTCTCAGGTGACGTTCCTGATTCCTGACACCAGCTCGTTCGAGCTCCAAATCGAACCGTTCGACTGTTTGCCAGCTCCAGCTCCAGCTCCAACCTCGTCTCCAACTCCCACGTTCCTGCAATCCATACATCCACCACTGCAAGGGATATCGTGATCTATCCACCAAACACCATCACACCAGCCCACCACCTCCCCTCCCATCATCGTGAGATCCCCGTACGTTGCGCCAGCTGCATGTCCGTCACTAAACCACCTCCGTTAATTGCTTCTCCACCGCCCCGTTCTTCCTGTCCCGTCCCTCGCCGAACACTGAACCCACAATCCCACTCTTGCTAGCCTTCCCGTCTCCGTCTCCGCCTCGGCACATCGGCCACCTTTGTCTCAACCATGTCCGACATCTCCGATGACTATGTCAACATCTCGCCTACCACCGACCTCCATCTGAGCGTCTACATGGAAAAACTAGCCCACCGCCGCCGTCTGGGAAGCTCCTCAAGTGAGGGCTCATCCAGCGGCGGCCCGTCCGAGGAAGAAATCAACAATAACACCACCACAGTGGTCAGTGGCTCGCCCACGCATGTCTATCCCGAGCATACTCCAGACTGGAGCAACCTGAAGGTCCTCCATCGCAACACTTTGCCCCCTCGGAGCTACTTCTTTCTGTACAACAATGAGGAGGACGCCCTGACCCGGGACATTACCAAGTCCAAGTCCAAGCTGCTCTCCGGAAAGTGGAAGTTCCACTTGACAACCTCGCCCTTTGCTGGGCCCCGAGATTTCTACAAGCCCGACTTTGACACCTCGGAATGGGGCGACATCGTCGTTCCCGGCATGTGGCAATGCCAGGGCTACGGAAAGGGCCCGCAGTACACCAACCTCAACTTCCCCTGGCCCGTGGACGCCCCCAACATCCCGTACGATGACAACGAGTGCGGCCGCCACGTGACCACCTTCCACGTCGACAAGGACTTTGCCGAGGACAACCAGCTCAGGCTGCGTTTCGAGGGCGTCGATTCTGGCTTCACCGTCTGGGTCAACGGCCACGAGGTCGGCTACTCCCAGGGAGCCCGCAACCCGAGCGAGTGGGATGTCACGGATTTCATCAAGGTCGATGCCGAGAACACGCTCGCGGTCGAGGTCTACCAGCGCTGCGACGGCACCTACCTCGAGGATCAAGACCAGTGGTGGCTGAGTGGCATCTTCCGCGATGTCTACCTCCACGCCTTCCCCAAGTTCCACCCGGAGGACTACCACGTCCACACATTCCTCGACAAGGACTACAAGGATGCCACCCTTCGCGTGGACATCACCATGAACCGGGGCGCCTACGTTGATATGAAGCTCCTCGACGCCGACGGCAAGCTCATCGCCAAGGGCATGGAGATCTTTGACCGCACCAACCGCTTCGAGGTGCGCGTCAAGAACCCTCACAAGTGGACCGCCGAGACGCCGTACCTGTACACGCTCGTCCTCAACTTCCAAAAGTGCAGTCTGGTCCAGCGGGTTGGCTTCCGCCAGACCGAGCTCATCAAGGGCGTCTTCTGTATCAACGGAGAGCCCGTCAAATTCCGCGGCGTCAACCGCCACGAGCACCACCCTGATTCCGGGCGCGCGGTGCCTTATGATTTCCTCAAGCGTGACCTGCTTATTATGAAGCATTTTAATGTCAATGGTATTCGCACTTCTCACTACATCAACGACCCCAGGCTCTACGACCTCGCTGATGAGCTTGGCATCTGGATCCTTGATGAGGCTGATCTCGAATGCCACGGCTTTGGCGTTGTCGGCATCGACGGCCACAAGTTCGCCTCCGACAACCCAGAGTGGAGAGAGGCCTACGAAGACAGAGCCAGGCAGATGGTCATGCGTGACAAGAACCACGCATCCGTCGTCCTGTGGTCCCTGGGCAACGAATCCTTTTACGGACAAAACCATCAGCACATGTACGACGTCATCAAGAGCATCGACCAGTCTCGCCTCGTCCACTACGAGGGTGACGGTAGTGCTCAAACCGCAGACATCTACAGCCGGATGTACGCTTCCGTCGACGACATCGTCTACCAGGCGTCCGAGAAGGACTGGAGGAAGCCGCTGGTCTTGTGCGAGTACATCCACGCCATGGGCAATGGACCCGGCGGCGTCAAGGAGTACATTGACGCCTTCTACGAGCACCCTCGTCTGATGGGAGGTTTCGTGTGGGAATGGGCCAACCATGTCAGTCCTCACAACTCTCTCACATGAACACATACTAACATCCGTAGGGCCTCCGCACCAAGAACGAGGATGGTGAGGAGTACATGGGCTACGGAGGCGACTTCGGCGACGACCCCAACGACAAGAACTTCGTCTTCGACGGCCTCTGCTTCGCCAACCACACCCCGACCCCGGGTCTGCGCGAGTACGGCAAGGCCATCGAGCCCGTACAGACGCTCGGCATCAAGGGCAACGAGGTCACCATCATCAACCGCTACGACTTCGTCGACCTCGACCACCTCACCGCGACCTGGCACATCGTCGGCGACGGCCTCGTCATCGGCAGCGACCAGGAGGTCGAGGTCCCCAAGGGCGTGAAACCCCACACCAAGGCGCACCTCAAGATTAAGGGCCTCCCCAAGGACCTCACCGCCGAGGCCTACCTCCACATCGACTTCATCCTCACCGAGGACACCAACTGGGCCAAGGCCGGCCACCGCGTCGCCTTCGGCCAGCTCCCGCTCTCCAAGCCCCCGTCCATGGCCCGCATCCTCTCCACCCTCTTCCAGCCCTTCGTCGACCCCGTCCCGACCATCCGCCAAACCGACCCCTCCACCCTCAGCATCACCTCCTCCACGGGCCAGTCCACCTGGGGCCTCGACCTCACCCTCGGCACTCTCACCAGCTGGAAGAAGGCCGCCCGCCCGCACCTCGACCTCCTCACGGAGCCCTTCGTCATGGACTTCTACCGCGCGCTGACCGACAACGACCGCGGCGGCCGCTTCGGGCAGAACTGGGCGGACCGCCGCCTGGACCAGACGCGCCACCACGTCAAGCGCGTTGAGTGGCGCAAGGAGAAGCACGGCCTCGTCGTTAACGTCCACTCCCGCATCGCGCCCCCGGTCCTTGCCTGGGCCGTCGACACCTGGACCACCTTCACCTTCCACGGTGAGGCCGTCTACATCAAGATCAAGGGCAAGCCCAACGGGCCGCTCCTCCCCGACACCTTCGCTCGTATCGGCCTCACAGGCGGCGTCAAGGGCGTCGAGACCGTCGCGTGGTGGGGCCGCGGGCCGGGCGAGAGCTACTCGGACAAGAAGCGCGCGCAGGCCTTCGGCAACTGGGAGGAGACCGTCGACGATCTCTTTGTTGACTACGAGTACCCCCAGGACGGTGGCAACAGGACCGATGTCCGCTGGGTCGAGCTCCGCGGCCGTCTGCCGGACGCGAACGGCGTCGTGGACCAGAACGCGCCGCGCGAGAAGCTGCTGCGCGCGCGGTTCGGCGACCTGGACGGGGCGTCGTTCTCGGCGATGCATTACACCACCAAGGACCTGGACGAGTGCGAGCATCCCTACGAGCTGTACAAGCGCAAGAGGGAGGACACGGTCGTCAGGCTGGACTGGAAGCACCACGGTCTGGGCACGGGTTCTTGCGGCCCGGCGACGCTGCCGGCGTACGAGCTCCACGCCAAGGACTTCGGCGTTGAGCTTGTGTTGGATTAAGTGTCTTGAGAGAGAGAACATGTGTAATGTATTGTAACTGAAAAAAGCCCGTTGGTGCTAAACATCAAATTGAGAAAAGTGTGTACTGTTCGACCAAATTGACCACGTGTGGCCAGACCAAAACTACCAAAATTGTGATGAGAGTGTGCCGTAGTCCGAAACTCATCACCAACACACCGAAACCGACATTATGGAGGCTTGATCAGAAGCTTCTTCACGTATACTGCCACGCTCCAAGCTCGATCTCACTCTCGTGTAACTCCAACCCCTCGAGCCGCTGACAATCACCCCGCCGCGCCCTCGCCCGGGTACTGCCCGCGACGAGCACCCAAGTCCCCACGACATCGTGGTAAGGACAAGCGTGCACACCCTCGCTCGCGGCATCCTTTGGGTCGCAGAAATCGAGGAGGTCCGTCGGCGGCTCGGCGTCGCACGGAGAGGAGGACTTGGCGGTTGTTCTATAGAAGCCCCTCATCACGGTGGAGTTGGCGGGGAAAGAGGCCGAGTGTGCCTGGGTAAAGCCGACGAACCCCTCGGGATCGACGTAGATGTTCTGTCCGCCTGGGACCATGACCTGTCAAGTGGAATAGTCAGTCGGGGGAAAGGGGAAGGAAGGTAAAGTCTCGGTGCCCCGACAGAGGGACAAAGAGCGTACCATCATTGCCGTGAGAAGTCCGTCGACGGTGGTGATGTTTCCGGGTGGGCAGGAGTCGCGTGCGACGTCGGGGCAGTAGGACATCGGGGCGTCGAGGCCGATGATGAAGCGGCGGCCGCTGGCGTTGACGGGTTTGCCGTGGATCGCGCGGCTTGCGGGGGAGTAGGCTGTTAGGGTGTATGACTCGGCTGCTGCGAGGGTGGTGATGCAGCTGAGGGAGAGGACGAGAGGGACTATGGCGGATTTGAGGCCCATTCTGGCTGGCATTCGGCGAGTAAGGAGTGGAGGAAGGGGAGTTCGGAGTGGAGGGTTGTGGAGCTGAGTTCAGTGTTGGTGATGGATGCCAATGGTTTTTTGGTTGGGTGGGTGAGTTTTATCATTGTGAATATCGGGAAGCTTTGATGAAGGAGACACAGAGGTGTTGCTTCCCGTCCAAAGGGGTTGTACCAATATCGTGGGTTGTGCAAAGGAAGGGGCCGGGGGTACGAAAGGTCGTGAGTGTCTGCAATTCCAAGGAGGAAAGACCAGCCAGAGATGGAATTATTCATCATCAGGCTTTCCCTTATGAGTCTTCTGCTCCTTCCTTCGCCATTGGATTGGATCTGGACCCAATGATGTGTTGCACTAAGGGATCACGCGTGAGGAAGCGTCGAACTGGCTGTCTCTGGAAAGAAAGGGCTCTCAGCCCAGTCAGGCTGTGACACCTTCCTGTCTAGATGGCCTTCACTGAGGTTGAAACTGGCCTTCCGAGCGACTGCAAGAACGGCTTCCGTCATGATCCACCATTGCCATCTGTGCCGACTTCAACAATAGATCCCAAGAGTGAGTGCTCCACGAAGGGGGCCGAGTCAAGGTGACGTATCACAGATGAGTGGATCAGTGTGTTTCCTGAGTATGAGTTTAGGGTAGGTCAAGAATCAACTCCCGTGGGTACCTACCTTATGGATGTGTGGATGGCACTCGAACAAAACTCCACAGCGCTTTATTCGGCATGAGGCTTCGCGCTTCGTCGGACTAATGACGCTTCCCAAATGCCGAGTCTTTCCATGGACCCAACTTGAGCAACGCCTATGGGGGAACTAATCGAATTTTCAATCGTCTTTTGTCATCCAGTAGGTAGCTGGCCAAATGGACTTATGCAGACCGGATGCTCCAAATTCCGCAAAACTTGACCAAAAAAAAGAAAAAAGTCTTTTACATTATTCAGCCTTTGTAATACCGCTTCATGTCAATAGGGACATAACTGACACTTACTTTGGTTTCAACTCCTCATTTGACATGAAGCTTGTTAGTGAAAAGTCTGCGAGCTTTCCATTTCTTACGCCGTGGTTTCCTTGTCTTTTCTTGCATTCAATCATATTCCCCGCTCCTCAATCGCGTCACTGTCAAGATGCGCCCCGACACTACCCAGGGCCTCGTCGAGGTTGACAGCCTCGAAATCAATGTTCTCGTCAACGACGAAATCGACCAAATCTCCCCGAGCCCGAGCCCTCTAGTCCGTCATACGCAATCGTTTGCAGGAGTGCCGCTCAGCCCTGTTCCCGACCCCGCCGAGCGTGGTGGAGCAAAGCTCGAGATGCCAATGCGCAACATTTGCTGCGGTGCTCATGGGCTGTCTCTATTTATTGTAACCGCTCCACTCACCCTGCACACATCAGCCAATGACTGACACAGCATGTAGACAGCCAAGAAAGACGGCCAGAGTCGTACGCTGCTGTTTGACACCGGACCAGAGGAAGATGTATTCGAAAGGAACTCTAAGAGGCTGAGGCTCCCTATGGGAAACGTGGAAGCAATCGCGTTGTCTCATTGGCACCGTGACCACTCAGGGGGGTTACTGTCTGCTATTCGGCTGATTCACAATGACAAATCAGCCCATGGCCCGGTACTTGTGGCCCTGCCTCCTGACAGGCCCGATTATCGTGGGGTCATGTTCGATACTCCCATATCTCTCGAGCCTGATCCGACTCTACAAGAGATAGAGGATGCGGGCGGCGATATTGAGATTGTCGACCACGCCCGCACAATCTTGGATGGCATGTTCTTCATTTCCGGGGATATACCACGAGAGACGTCGTACGAAGGTGGTATCCCAGGTGGCATCAGGTACAACACTCGAAGCGGGGAATGGACTAAAGACGAGCTGGTCATGGAAGAACGATATGTCATGTGTAACATCAAGGGTACGTCTTCGCACGTCTGCTATTAACTTTAGTGCCTGCCAGCTGATCATCATTCTCAGGCAAGGGATTGGTCATCTTCACAGGCTGTAGCCACGCTGGCCTGATCAACATCGCCAAGGATGCCATGAATGTTAGTAATAGCGCCGTCCATTCTATTGTTGGCGGCTATCACCTCGCCGATGCTTCGCCTGAGAAGATGAGTGATTGCATGAGAGATCTAAAGGAGATCAACCCAACTGTCCTCATGCCTGGCCATTGTACTGGATGGAGGTTTAAAGGACTGATTGAGAATGAGATGCCTGGCCGAATGGCCCCAATCTTTGGCGGTATCAAGTACCAACTTTAAAAGTCTCATAATCTGACCATGCGTAGCCATAACTTCAACGGACAATTTTCCGATAGGACCTATGTTTAGTATTGAATAGCTGCCAATGACTTCGTCTTGGTGTCCCATTTTTTCGCGGTTACACTGCGGCAACGACAATGGTCTACTGTAGTCTCCAACGCTAAAAGTCTTCTCCCCCGTCTTCCACTCCAGGGAATCTGTGATGGAACTTGGAAAGGAGACATGTACACGGTATCCAAGGGGCAAGTCTTGCAAGAGAATTTCAACTGCTCCTACATTAGACATCATTGCTGAAATCCCCAAACAACTCGGCAGGAATACCAGTAAAGGTGTGGTGGTAGAGTAAGTATTCAAATAGCAGCAAAAGGCTGGATTTACTACGCGGTCATATCATTCTACATACTCTATGAACAATCGCACAATTTCACTCAGTTTTTTGTTGTTGTCAGAAACAGGTATGGAACCACCCTTGAAGCGGGATACTACTCGCAAATTGACACATCCAACAGTTGCAAATCGCCTGATTTTCCCTTTCTGATAAGGATTCATGGTTGCCATGGCCAGCCAGTATGTGCCAGGTGCTTCATTAATCAAGCGACCGACTGCGCAAGACCCTGTAGCATAGGAACGTCCATTGTGTAAAGATCGTTGCCCTGCTCATCGAGAAAGACAGAAGGCCCCTGGCTTGTCATCAACATCTCTGTCTCAACCTCGAAGACCAAGGGGTCGTGGACAGCGCCCTTGCTCTCGGAGACAAAATCCCCCTCAGCGAAATGACCTGTTTGTGGGTGATCGCCGGTGCCCTTGAGAACAAAAATCTCGGCAGCCTCAATATGACGGTGTGGCGGAAGAACGCCCCCGGGCTCGGCGCGAATGATAACAGTGTGGGCGCCGGTCGCTGGCTGGAGTTTTACCAGCTTGATCCATATTTTAGGTGCCAATGGAAGCCATGGGAGGGTGTTGCAGTTGACAGTTGAACCAGCATCTTGACCACCATGATGTATGTCGGGCGATTCGGTGACAGGCATGGTCAAGACCTGCTTTTCTTCGGGTTTGAGCTTTGCTAGACAACTTGGTGTGGCGCTGTGAGGTAGGATAATCAAAGATGCTTCTAGGACGAGTGTACTCTTGTGTGTTTTTCGTTTGCGATGAAAGACAAAACCCTCCGCGGGTTCAACATCTTGAATAAGGTAGGTTATATGTGTGCGTCAAATAGTCAATCCTGAGAAGAATTACAGAGTCAAAGGGCCGGACTGGTCCATCGAAGAATGAATTAGGAACCACAAAAAGCAGGCCCATCGGAAGAGCTAGAGGTGGGAACACGGATGTAGCCAAGGACAGCCCTTGCAACCTGACCCGCTGTGCAAAGCCAAGGAACGTAATCTGCTGACAAGATGGCGGTCATGACCAGCGATTTGATTACCAAATAGACACACCTAGCGGTTAAGGGAATGTGTGTCTAGGACAAGCGTCGGGTAGAGCACCAGTCTCAAAATACATCCAGAGGTTTCCAGATCGGATCTACTATACGTCAAAAGTCCGTTTTCTAAAGTCCGTTGTCCAAATTCTGTTGTCCGAAGCCCACATGAGCATGAACTCGCGGAACATGGTTTCCGGCGCTGACCGTCGGCGAAGAGCGAGGATCAAATCTCGCGCTCCTTTGTCTTCCGAATACCGAGCGCAGCTCATGTCTGGAAATTAGTGGATTGGGTGACAGACATGGTAAGTAGGTACTTGGAGAATGCGCAGGTCGAGGGTATCTCACGCCAGCGTGATAAAGCCTGAACTCAGACATGCTTTTTGACCACCACCCTGCCCGCACTCATTATTTCTATGACCGATGTCAAGCAACAAATCAAAATGCAGCTCACAATTGTCCCAGCATCATCTCAAGTCTGCCAGGTAGCGCTCCGAGCGCTGCTAGCCCGAGATTCTTCTCACAAAGTTGTTGGTATCTATCGCGACCTTGGGAAGGTCCCTTCTGATCTCAAATCACACCCAAACTTCCGGGCCATCAGAGGCAACCTCGCTGAGCCAGAGTCAATCGACTTGAGTGGTTCTGACGCAGTGCTTATCACAACCCCAGCTGCATTTTCTGATCCTGATGTCTCTGCGCACAACAAGCGCATCACTGACAACGTACGCAACGCTGTGAAAAAGGCGGGATCGGTCAAGAGGCTTGTCTATGTGTCTAGTGTTGGGGCACAGTATCATGAGGGCGTAGTAAGTTTATACCAATTGGCTCCCGTCATGTATGGACGGTGCTGACGCCGTGAGGCAGGGTGAAGTCAAGAGTAACTACGATTCTGAGAAGGCCTACTGCGGAGTGGCCCCTGAAGTTGTATTCGTTAGGAATAGTTATTTCATGGACAACTGGAGACCTGCCCTCGACACCGCCAAATCAGAGCGACCGTTCTTCTTTTCTCCAATCCTTCCCATCGATTTTAAAATACCTATGGTACCTATCTATGCCACATCTTTCGACCCATAACACAGTAGACGCTAAACCGTCCCGCAGGTTTCACCACGAGATATCGGCGAAATATGTGCGACAGAACTTCTAGCTACCAGAGACGGGACCAAAGAATACCCCCAGATTGTCAATGTTCAAGGCCCCGAGAGATATTCCACCACAGACGTGAAGCATGCCCTCGAGTCAATCGTGGGAAAGAGTATTGAGGTCAGACCTGTTGATAAGGACGCTCTGCCAAGCTTCTTCGGGCAAGTGTTGCCATCTCACTTGGTAGCAGAGTTTGTTGAGATGACAACGTCAATGCTGCCGGGAGGATTGCTGGAGCTTGAGAATGCGGCTATTACAGACTGGAGAGTAGGCAAGGAGTCCCTCATTGCTGCTTTGACTCGGATGTGGCATGAATAGATGCTGCTGCCTGTCGCCTCGGCTTGATGTGGCTGTGAAAAGTAATGCATGCATTTGTCCATGGGGATATCAAGCAGAGAATTTGTTCAGATAGGCCAGACTCTTCTCGATGGAGCTGAAATGAAAGCATACATGCCTCCGAGGCAAACACTGATTTGGAGTCATCGTCTCCCTATGATATCTTCTCTCTCACACGATCTTAACTCATCTTGCGACTGCGTGAGGCATCACACTACCCGTAACCCTTGGATAACGGAAATATACCTAATACCTAGCATGGCCACGTCATGAGGCAAGATCAGTGTTTCAACTGTGAGCTGGATAATATACCAGGTGTATCTATCTCTTTTACAATACAAGGAAGCTCACGTACAAAGCGGTCAATTTGCTGGATGCGTTTGGTGTGGTGACTGCTCTCTCTTACGCAAGGCGCGACGCACAGTTAGGCTAAAGCATGATTTGAGGAGGCTTGGACACAACAGCGGAGGGTGATGGATTGAAAAGCAATTAATTACTGTATCATCTAACCACTATAGGATTCTAGGCGTTCTAGGGGGTCTGCCTCTGAGAGCCCCTCAAACTTTGATCAACCCACAGCAGGCAGTCTCTGACGGATCACTCTCTATTTCTCCAGAGCTGTATGCTACCTTTTCACCGGTGCATTTGAGCGCCATAATCCCACAAATCATCCTCGAAGCTTAAGATGGCTCAAGCAATGCTCACATGAGCTTTGAAACGAGCCTTGGGGTCGTATCGGGCTCTCAGCTTCTGGACTTTGGCAAGATTGCTTCCATAAATCTACAAGAGCCACATCAGCATCAGTAACCGATAACAAAGCCATTTACTATATAATATTTGCATACCTTGGAGATCTCAGTCCATTCATCAATGGCATTCGGTGTAGGCGATATGCGAGGGTCATCGCCCATCAAGAGCTTTGGGGCCTCTTTTGCGAGCTTCTTGGCCTTTTCCTCTTCTGCTGCGGGGACGTCCAGCCCACAGCCAACTCCAATCACGAGCATATGCCGACATCCGCGAGGACCCGGCCATGCCATTGCGCTCGGGTCAGAGCCTTCGCGCTTCTCAGTGTTAGCTATGAATGCGGTAGGGCTGGAATCGAGACCGGGGATCTTACGGTACAAAACAACTCAAATATCATATAGGTGTTGTCAGAGATGGTCTTTCCATATTTGTCTAGGTCTGTAAACCATTGAACACAGTCCTTCAACTGCCTCTCGCTGAACTCTGGTACAATCATAGGCGCCCAATATTGCTTGGAAGTCCCGGACATCGCAGCAACACGATCTAAACAGCATCAGCATGAACGTCATTGGAAATCTGCCCATGAGTAGTGCGTAGTGGAGAAGCAAGCACTACTAACCTTGGATTCTGATGACTTCCAAAATTGTGCCCATCTTGGTGAAGTCTTGAGCACCTGGGAGGTCAAGCGCCCACTTGAAGGTGGTGCGACCGTGCTCCTCCCCGCTAACATCAAAAACATGGAAGACCAGAGCATCATGCTCCCCAGCATCAACGTCATGCATGTTCTGGAACTTGTCTTTCTCGATAAACATAAAGACAGAGATTCCTGGGTCGGCAGATGAAGCAGAGAACCGGGACAAGTGAGGGATCGCCTGGGGGAGCACAGACCTAGGAGCAACAATCGTTCCGTGAAAAACAGACGCAGGCGATGGGTGTAGTTTGAAAATAACCTTTGTGATCGCTGTAATAACACTTAGCAACCTTTTCTTAGAAGTGTAGGAACATAATCTTACCTCCAAATCCGCCACCGCCACCACGAATTGCCCATAAGAGCTCAGGTTCTTGAGACGCCCAGACGACGGATCCGTCATACTTGACAACTTCGCAATCAAGCATATTCTGAGGATCCGAAATACAACCTAGGTCACCAGAGAGCCAGGAGAAACCCGCGGTAATAATACTGCCACCGACGCTCACACAGGGGGTACGGGCTCCGACGGCTTGACCGGACAGTCAGCAGATAAGCCCTCGGGAGTGGACGACTAGGCGCATGCCTCACCAGTAAACTGAGGGGCAACCTTGTGGATAGCTTCATACACATCTAGCCAGTGTTGACCGGCACCCACAGTGATAGTGTTCTCATCAGAATTGTAGCTGAAGCTGTCGAATCTGTGCATACTCAGCAGTATGTCTTTAGTTGGCATGGATGAGTATCCATGACCACGGAACGCAAAGTCCAGCTGTGTATCGTCATATAGATACTTCATGACTTTCCCCAGAGTCTGCGCATCGGACGGCGCGACTACAGCTTGAGGGCCGAGGTTGACTTGCGCAGCCCAGAAGGTCGTAAGCTTCTTGTAGGAAACAGGATCAGACTGCGAGGTGATAATGTCGCTTGGAGCAAGAAGTGAGACAAGACCTTCCATTTTGAGAATGATGTGTCGGCAACGTATGCAATTATGGTTGAAACAAGATGAAAGACGAACCTACCGATGAGAAAATATATGGGCTGTCCTGAAGCTATGACTATTTTATACAGACGTACAACCATTCCCGTTCAATCAACAAGTAATCGTCATCTACCTGACAGAGCGGACCTAAAGGGTCTCTGTAACATGAGAGGCGGAATTTCTCATCAGTAGTAAAGTTCCACATCCGCATATCCCCCTCAGGCATGATTCAACAACCGATTGAGCGGGTACCGGACGGAGCACGCCGGCAAATATTGAATCCCGAGATGTCCGAGCGTTTGATTGCCCCGAATCATGTACTGTATCCACCGCTTGGCTGGACAAGCGTGATTACCGAGGCCCTTCAGGAAATCGTTCGAAATACTGGCCAAAGTCTCTCTCCTAGAAGTTCCTCTTCTTACGTTCTTACACCCATGTTATGCGAAAATGTGTCACTGGTGGCAACTGACATGAAATAAAGGCTGTTCAATATTTATTGATATGTGCTGTTTTCTTCCATGACCATCTTTTCTTCAACTACCAATTTTAATTCGCCATCTTATTATCTTGGTTTTTTACCCTTCCACAGAAGATACCTGTTTTCAAGTCTTTCTTTTCCAGTCCTTAGCTCAACATCAAAATGGAACGTGTCCCGACGCAGAGAACGATGGAATCTCAAGGTGTAAGTAGCAGAGAGGGTGGTGTCTACGTCTTGTGTTATGTCTGACACTTATTCAAGGACCAGCAAGAAGATATAGCCAATGGCGCGCACCTATTTACCAACCTTCTACATGGCGTAGTTGGGTGGGATGGTCAGAGCGATCCTCAAAACCCCAAGTGAGAATATCACGGTGGTGATAACATGAACAACCTTGACCTGATGCGATTGAAGGAACTTTTCCTATCAAACAAAGTTAATTCTTCTTGGCCTCGTCAGCTTCGTGTCCTTTCTGAGGTGAGATTATCCTCGCCGTGTATCTGCCTCTTTATGTGCAGTGATCGCTTACAACTTCTGCTGTTGGACCACTAAGTTCACTTGCGTCTTCTATCACGGCCCCCGGGGCGCAAGCCATGAGTGACGAGCTCGGAAACAAATCAAGCGTATTGAGGTCTTTTGCCACCAGCATCTATGTCCTAGGACTCGCGGTAAGTTTTTTATTTTCTTACCCGCTGGCATACAAGCAAGAGAATCGGCGCTAAAGATTGTGTCTACAGTTCGGACCATTGGTTCTTTCGCCGCTCAGTGAGATTTACGGTCGGTTACCAGTCTTAAACTTTGCCAATCTCTGGCTCGCCGTTTGGCAAATCCCTTGCGCAAGGGCTGGCAGTATCGGCAGCCTCATTGCCTTCCGTTTTCTGGCTGGCGTAGGCGGGGCTGCGTCACTGACGCTGGGCGGCGGACTCATATCGGACATGTTCTTACTGGAGCAGCGCGGTACTGCTAACTCCATCTTTAGTGTTGGGCCACTGTTTGGCCCTGTGCTAGGGCCCATACTAGGAGGCTTCATCTCTGAAAGGGCCGGATGGCGCTGGGTCTACTGGGTTCTTCTGGCTGCGTGTATTACCCTGGCCGTCATTGTCTTTGGTTTCAGCCGCGAAACCAACCACGTGGTATTGCTGCGCAGGCGTACAGAGAAGCTCAGAAAGGTGCTGGGGAGAGATGACTTGGTCAGTATCTACGATGTCAGCACACCCAGAACAAGTCGCAGAGAGCTGGCCATACTCGCTGCTGGAGTCATCAAACCATTCCAGTTCATCACCAGGTCGCCAATCGTCCCTCTCTTGGCAATCTATATGGCCTTTGTTTTTGGCCTCCTCTACCTGCTTCTTACAACTGTCGCCGGTGTATTCACGGATACATACGATTGGCCTCTGGAGATTTGTGGCCTTGCTTATCTAGGACTCGGCTTAGGTTTCGTTATGGGGCTTGTTATCACAGCTTGGACCTCGGATGCTACTGTGATACGGCTCACAAAAGCTAACAGAGGAGGATATAAGCCAGAAATGCGACTAGCCCCGTCCATCATTTTTGCTCTTTTCGTTCCTATCAGCTTTTTCTGGTACGGCTGGGCTACGGACCAACAAGTTCATTGGACCGTTCCGATCCTAGGTCTGGCTCCATTTGGATTTGGTATGATGGGTATTTTTGCGTCCATTCAAACCTACTTTATCGACATTTCAGGCCATTATTCGGCCTCTATACTTGCTGCTCTTACAACAGTGCGCTGCATCTTTGGTTGCTTCCTCCCATTAGCCGGACCACAGATGTACGCCTCTCTGGGACTTGGCTGGGGCAACTCGCTTCTTGGTTTTATTGGGTTGCTTTTAATTCCGGCGCCCCTAGCTATTTATCGCTTTGGAGGTGGTCTTCGAGAGAAATACCCTCTAATGCTCTGAGGGCGCGGAAAAATGTGGAAATGAGATCTTGCGAGTTACGGGCGCGCAGGTCATCAGGAATCAAGGTGTATTGTAGGAGTAACTATTCGGAAGGGTGGTCCGCATCGCGGGCTAATATCCACACGCGCGGCTTACGTAATACCGCACGTCACGTGACAGGCGGTGAGGCTGCGGCTCAGATTGAGGGTATCGCAACATGAGACAAGTGATTGCCAGACATTTAGGTCGGAACTGTTTGTCCTTTGGTTGCCTTTTTTTTCTTTCTTTTTCCCCTATCTTGAAATGAACTCGTAATTTCTCCTTGATTAGCTCTTGTAGTCGTCAGCTAGATCAAGAACACCATACAATTTCCCAAGAGGCCATTCGACGAGGTCCAAGTACTCTGGGTGTTAGCCACGTGCAATCACTCTCGAATCTCTTTGGTTATATCCTCACCCGAAGCCAAAAAGGCCAGGTCACAATTTGCTGAGTAAGACGTACTGAAATCCCATGATATACAAGGTTTGAGGGCTTGGATTCATGGATATCGCATCGAGGAAATCTATAGATATCATTGAGGGAAACGTTGTGGCAGCGAGAGCCTTTCGAGAGTTACCTTTGTCATGTTCCGATAACGCAAAGCATCTTTGTAATAGTTGTATAGCAGACTCATAGCGTGTTGTCTTTGTTTGCATCTATGGCCACTGATTTGCTTCATAGTATATGAATCTCAGCATCAAACTGTTCCACCAGAGCGGGATGCTTGCGGGTTGTATGTGCTGTTTCCATGCACCCCGCAAGATTCAGGTACGCCTTTCTCGTGGTCAACGTCCGTTCTGACGTAGTCATCGCCAACAAAGACACCAGCCACGCCCAAATGAAACGGCCTAAGACATTTGCAACGTTCTCAGTGCGCGTATTATTTCCCCTTCAGATCATGCTATCTCTCACGAGTGGATAGTGAGCGGTGTGCATCTGCAAAGTGGAACACGGATGGCTCGGAGCTCGTTTTCGGGATCTTTTGCAGGCCAGAGGGTCAACACCATGCCCACAACGTTGCTCCTATATCGCGCGGTTCATCGGTGCTTCATGCGAATACTTTTGAATTAGGTTGTCATAGAATAATTGTATGTCACTCCGTCTACCCGCTCTACCTCCTCAAAAACGCCCAGAACGCCTGCGAAATCCCTCTACCCCTCATATCCCATCCCAATCACAACGACTCCTCCTTGTGAATCTCAATACCAGCTGGCGCCCCAACCAACGTCTTGCACTGCGCATAAATCACAAACTGCCCAGCGACCAGACCGCATGTCATGACGATACGCGGGCCCAGGCCCGTCAGCAGCAGCCTCTTGGGCCCAAACTCCTTCGCGAGCTGGAACATCCTACTGGTGGCCCCCTGCTTCGGGTCGCCCGCGCCCTTGTTGATGGCCGACAGCAGCGTGTCCGCCGGGTGCGACAGCACCGCCGCTGCGACACCCGCCACCACGCCCGACGCCAGCTCCACGCCCGTCGACTGCAGCTGCGTCATCTTGGCCTTCCTCTCGGGGCCCATGGTGCGGTAGATCACCTCCACCGCCGCCTCGTGCACCGAGAACTGGCCGACGGCATACGGTACCTGCTTGAACAGCAGCGGCACGAAGCCTGAGTAGAACCCCTTAAAACCCTCCTCGCGCGCCAGACGCATAAAACCGGACGTCAAGCCGTTAGCGAACCCGCGCTGCGACACGAGACGGATGCGCGTCGCCTCGAGCGGGCACAGCAGAATATCCGCAAAGAACTCGGCAGTCGCGCTTGCGCCGAGGTAGATGGCGGTGCGCTTGTCGACGGCCTTGTCTGGCCCGCCGGCGAGGGTGATGAACTGCTTCTTGAAGAACTCGTAGCCGGCGAACTTGCCGCCGCCCTGGACGAGGTAGCCGACCGCCGTGGGGCCGAAGCCGGTGAGCAGCGCGGAGGCGCCCTCCTTGGCGACGATGGTGCGCCCGGCGCTGACCATGTTGAGGCCCTTCATGGCGTCGTCGACCTGGATGCGCGTCTTGACGACGTCGATGGGTGTCGCAGCGCCGTGGGTGAGCGTCGCGGCGAGCGCCCCGGCGCCGAAGAACTTGGCATAGTCGAGGGGTGAGAAGGTCGGGACCTCTGTTTGTGGTGGTGTTGTTTTTGATGCCATGTTTGTTGAGAGTGGAGATGTGTCTGCTTCTGGAAATCAGAGAATTGATATGTACGATGGGGAGTATCAAGAGAAAGCGGCTGGTCGAGAGTATTAAAAGGTCTCTCCCGTCATGTAGAAGATAAGAGAGCTTGCCTTGGCAGGGTAGTGTGTGCTGTGGTGCGTGGTGGACCCCTAGTCGCTGTGCTTGAGCACGCTATGACGTCGTTGTTCCGTCGTGACGGAATCGCCGCCGGAGTGTTCGGGGACGCATGCAAACGCTAGCCCCAATTGCCCAATCAGATTGGCCCTGTTTCATTCGACGGGACTGGGAGAAAACTCGGCGGGATTGACGACATTTTTTGGATCACTAAGGACCGCCCACTTTATCGCGGTCTGATAAGCTTTTGGATGCCGTTCGTCCCGACTCGCGGAGTCGCGCCCCGACGCAGCGGATGCTCCCGCGCCGCGAGATGGGCCTGGTGGCTCCGATGCCGCGCAAGACGTTACCCTGGATCCGCCGGGATTAATTTTTTCAGCCCAACTGCCGCGGTCGCCTCCGATTCATTGATGTTATTCCCAGCCGGTGATTCTATTCTCACATCGGGGCTACGTTGTAACAGAGCAGTACAACGAGCAAAGTCTTATGCACGTTCTTGTACGTCGCCCAAGCTTCATTAGGACCTCAATGATTTTCAAGCCGAATTCAAGTCTCGGTGTGAAATTGCTTGAGAAAAGGCGTGCCTGTCCCTGTGTGTACGCCGACACACCGAAGGTACAACAGACTCCAGGTGCACTCATAAGTAGGTTTCGGGCCCACTGCAATTGCTTTCCGAACTCAACCACATCATCCGTCGACGTCTACTAGGTACACACGTACAATTCGGACATCAAAAAGTTTGAACACAGGAAGAAATCTTTCTTGTATTGAACCTCACGTAGAAAGAGTAGACCTATGTCTTGTATCGTATTCAATAAAAGTGAAAATTTTGTTGCGTAGTAGTTGGTCCTGTCATTCCTTCGGGAACATCGCCGGTGTTGACTGGACAGACTTGACTCTTCAGCGAGAACCTGCGCTTGGTTCCGTGAGATAAATTTAAAATATTCGGAAACAAATAGATCATGCACACGTTGCCGAAAATTATCGATGCGATGCCAAAAAGGATAGAGAAAAAAAAAACCCCATAACGGAAATTTACCCAATGCAACAAGATGGCCAAATAGCCGTCGTTCTCAGACAATGACCACCACTCGGTTGTTCTCAAACTCTGTAATACCTCGATGCCGGGCAGTGACATCATATCCAGCTTTTTCTGATACCCTGTATCCTTCAATCCGAGTTTTGTTGGCAATGCCAACACGACGAAACACCAAAGCAGTGCTAAAGTCTTTACCATCAACAGCCCTCAGCAAAAGACTAACAGTAGAACTCGTAGCAGGCCCGTAGAGTGCTATGGGAGACGGAGGACGCGGTGGTGTTCTCCCAGATTTCAGCATGTCGAAAATATAGAGGCTGTCTTGCGAGTCTGGAGTTTGATCCAACCATTCCGATGTACCCGATCCGAAGATCGGATTAGAGCGAAGGGAAGGAATATTGGGGCGATTGTTGTCTGATCTCCAAGCACGGAGAGAGCCTCTGAGCGTAATGGAACCTGAGATATTGCTGTGAGATCTATCAGGACTGATGTCGACCAAGATAACGGATGACATCGGCATCATCTTGCCTGGATGTCGACATAAATCGTAAGATACCGCGCCAGAACGAGACCCCCAAGTCCAGGACGGGCCTCTTATGTCTGCCTCGTCAGCCTGCTCCAGTCTCCAACACATACTGGGAATCAGATGCTTCCTAGTCCATAACCCACCAGCGAATTCGTCCCCACCAGCTTTGCAAAGCACCTTAGAAATTGCCAGAAACGCAGGGATTCTATCAGATTGCTTCGTCAACTTTCTGTGGGTGAATTCCTCGACTTGAGATTGCCACACTTCGATGGGACTTTCTTTGTTCTCAGAGGCCAATTCTTGCTGCTGAAGAGTCTTGACGGCTAGTTTTAATCTTCTCCTTGTGTCCAAATCTTTGCCACTGTAGTCGATAGACCTAGTGAAACACTGTGCTTCGGGATTTGGTTCGATGTGATAAGAGCAGAGACACTCCCAGTGCAGGATACCGGGGCCAAAATAGACAACTCGTGTGCTCATGAGGTGTTCTTGCAATGTCCAAGCCCGCTGATGCACTGGGCCTTCAAAATCCCCGTCCTTGTAATCGTGATGGCTGGGATAAGCCGCAAATTCAAACACACCTTCATTGAAGGTATGGCGATATTTTTTCGGAAGACCAATCTTCAATGGTATGGGCCTAGCAGTTTCTCTTGAGCGTGACACGAATAAGCTGTCCCTGGAGTCTGCTGCAACAAGACTTGTAAGTGCCAAGTCGGCCCGAGAGTAAAGCTCGTGCATTACTGCCGCCTCACGGGCCCAGTCATCCGCATCATCTTGTATAATACAAAGTGCGTCGATCCAAAGGTACTTGTACCCTAAAGATCTTGCAACTATTACAGCCTGGCGAAGTAGTGTCCGAAGTGATTCCAAAGGGATGCCCTGCTTGCGGTGTGAGAAGTTGTTTTTAGTGGTTGTGGCGTTCCCCGAGAGACCCCAGCAATACGACAGGATGCAGTAACGCTCTTTAAGGCCATGACCTTCGAATAGAAATGGCTCCCTGTCTTCAGAGCCCACGTTCAACACTCTCGTTGGTAAAGTGCTGCAAGTTCCGCGTGGGCCGTATGTGTCCCGGCAAACGGAATGCCCTGGAGAGGTTTTGCAAATCTGAAGCCAATGCTTTGCGACGCTCATTGCTTTCGGTGAGCCAGTACTATGATCGTTGCATTGGCTGAGAGGATATCCCTGGTGAGTTTCGAATCCTGTGTCATAGGGCCGCAAGCCGAAAGAGGCACATGGAGATTTCGAATCCCCAACATGTGCAGTGAAATCGCTTATTTGATAGGGGCCAATTTTACCTTCCATGAAGATTGGGGAACTGCGCCGAATCTTTAGACTGACGGGTATGAGTTCGTGGCTTTGACCACTGTTGCCCTTCTCATTCAGATTGCGAAGTTCGTCAGAAATCGCCAAGCAGATGGGGCACCCAGAAAGTGCGCAATCGTCCAGTTCCTGTTTGTTCTTATGTAAGTCGACCCTATTGCCAGAATACTCACGGTTCGCCGCGGCTGTATCCCTGCAGAATGTTTTGATGTATGCCAAAAACCTTAAGCATTCCAAGCAAAAATTCTCGCCAAGAGCCAATCTTGGTATTTGCGAGACGCTGTGCAAACTGTCCATTACATTGTCGACGAGGGCATTGACAGCGTCCGTGTCCCAATTTTGATCCCGAGGGATATGCGATGCAGACACCAAGTGGTGGTATGTATCATAAAGGGTCCTTTCTGGAAGGACCTGCTTGCTTGAAACGACGGCAAGAAGTCTTTTAGCGGGTATGGCGATATCCTGAGGCTTCGGACGTGGAGCTGCTCGGGAGGGTAGCATTAGTGGAGTAGGTAACTGTCCGTACTCGTCTGACATCAGCCTTTCTAGTATGGAATCTTCCGAGGCCAGTAAAGCAAGATCCGTGATTGACCATTCGTGATGCGTGGCAGCCTCCAAAGTGGCACCGTTCTCGAGCAGGGCGAAGAATACTTCCTCGTATCCTTCGTAAAGAGCTGCATGAAGGGGAACCAGGCCATCCTGTGAGGCTTTGTTCGGGTCCGCTCCATGATGGATGAAAAAGCGGATAGCTTCGATGTTGTGAAGCTTGACAGCCTCATGGATAGCAGTGCGTCCTTCCGTGTTATAGATGTTGGGTTCTGCTCTTGGGTGACGCAGGATGATTTTTGCCGACTCATAATCAAAGCAAAGAAGCGCGAGGTGAAGAGGTGTGTTCCACCGTTGCCAAGTGTCCCCGTACTCATTAGGCGCGGATGTTGGATGCGGGTCGATGATATCTTCATAGGCCCAAAGCGTGTTGGGGTCGAGCAGACGGTCTTCGAGCGCTTTTTGAACAAGTTTCGATGCAGAGCTTCCTCCCTTGTGGAACTTATCCTTGAAGTGTAGCTTTGGGGGGTATTTACTATTGAGCATGATCAGAATGGAGGGCAACTTGATTATGGTAGACGGTTTCTATTTCATGGAAGATACCTATGACGATCTTCCTGTGCCAGTCTGTCTCGTTCTTCATAGCTTAGTTTTCTCCTCCGTAGTTCTTCTTCGGGGGGTAGTCTTGGAGCGCTCGATAACATGGCCCCTTATTTAGAGAATCAAGAAAGTACCGAAATGCTGTTGAGGACAGATTGCTGAACAGCGGTAGGAGAATAGGACGCGTGACGTAGCGCTACTTTCGGCACTTGCAAGACCGTAGCTCTGAAACTTTGAGAAGGAGTGAACGAGATTTGCGAAAGAGGTCTGCTCTTATATGTGCAAGTCAGGCGAGTGCTATTCAATGCCGTCAATCCCAGTAAGGCAACCGACGTCTCGCTGGCCTGCCTCCAGTTTGCCTTCCCAATTTTAGCTCGGTTGCTGAAAATTTGGCCCTAATCCAGAGACGACGTAAATCAGGCTACCAACCATTAATCGCTCAAATATGATGGCACCAAGTTCTAAGACAGCCAATGTCTCACTAACCTCCTTTTTGTCTTGATAACGGCTTGGCTGCTGCAAGTCTGCTCCAATGTAAAAGAGTACGACGGTGCAAGAACCTGTGGCCTTAACTTGGGTACATTAGACGCAGAGAGCAGAATTCCAGATCATTGCTCATGAGATGCCATGAACCACACTTTCGTCATGCCTTGACCTAAGTGTGAAGCCCGAGAGATGTTTATTATCCTCCACCTGATTCACGTGTAGAGCGGCATGTGGCCTCAAAATGACAATGCTCGACTGTAATACGAGAGGGCCTCTTGAAGAACCATCCGAGCACACCTTCCCGGCATCGAGAGGGCTCGTTTTGCAAGGGGGCTCATATGTCACTCTGTCTTACAACTAAGAGTGTGGTGAGACACGCACGAAGGCCACAGATTGCTGCCTTACCCTGAGCCAGGGCAAACAGGTCGTCCAGGTAATCCTTGCAGTCTGCCTTATGCACGATGTGAAACCATACCATCTTACTGGGTTCGCCCGTAGCACCGTAGGCGCCATTAAGCTAAGCAGAAATTGAAGTCTTCATTCTCCAAAAAGGAAAGCCTAGTACCGAACGCCATGCCAAGCAAAAAGCTTACGAGGGCCCCTACGCCCGGTCGCCGTGGCGATGTCTGTCTCACCAACTTCTGGCCAACAATTGGTACGCTGTTTGACAAGACAGAGGGGGGCTGTTCGGGTCGAACTACGACAAGCCCCAGTCGAGACGATTTCAGCAGCTGGAGAACCTATTATCCGGCTGTTCTATTCAGAGGGAAACCAAATTATTGTAAAGCTTATATATTCTTTTAAGTGGCCGATAAACATTTGATCTCAGCAAATGACAAATACGGATTCAACTGCTTAGTCGTATTCTTTCGGATCCATCGCTGCATCCTCGTATATTCGGGTCTTTTCTATGAACTCATTAGGTTTCTGGAGTCTGGTCTATATGGGGTCATCAATAGTCTCTGACCTTTCAGTACGTCGTTTCTATTCTATTTGGTGCTCATCGGGCTCGCCTGCGATCCCTCTGGTTAAAATGCGCCACTTATGTGAGCGCAACGGGCAAAAGCAACTTGGTAGCATATCGTAGTGCTATTTAAATGCTCAAGTCACCAGCAACATGCTCAACGAGAGACCAGTCTCTGAAGAGCCCATAGCAATAAATCAGACGAGAGCGTCCAGCGAAAGCCAAGATATTGGAACACCGATGAATGTCACGCCGGCCATGTTACATTGACAGAGTCGTGTGCTTTAAACATGAAGTGATACGATGCTTCAAACCTCAGGTACGCGCAAAATAGCCATTGAAGTAAGCCAGGAAGAAGAAACCAGATCGTTGAACTTCAAGGTGGTCTCCTTGGATATCCTACAAAGTGCTTGATGACCAGTTGCCACGCCGCACATGGTCGGTGCCATTCGAGTGTTTCTTGTGAAATAGAGTGGATCTGGAAGCCCCGGGGTTTGTTGAAGAGAATGCCGAGCAAAACGCCACTCGTTGACGAAGGTGGAAGAAATTGCATGCCACATGATGAACGTCTTCTGATGCTATTGGTTATTAAGTCATGTCTCCGCTCCTGGATCGGTTCATTTTGAAGTCCGAAATGAAGTCCGCGAGGGTATCACGCGATTTAATTGGACCATTACGGCATCCGCAGGCTTTTGACATGTACATGACTTCACTAGACCTCCGTGCGGTCAAAGTAAGCGCAATCAATGGCAGTTGCAACCGTCAACTTTCGCAACCTTCAAGTCTCAATTATAAGGTAACATCGGCGTATATACTGGAATCCAGCTGCCGGCAGTCCTTGCCGTCCATGTGGTCATTCTGGGCCATGTTCCGATCTAAACCTACCTCTCCGTAATTGAATCCCTAATGTGGAATCGAAGATTACCAAGAACTTCCTCCTATAGTCAATCATCCATGAAACAAGTCATTATATTTGTGTGTAAGTAGTTTCGATGACCAGAGTTTAGAAAGGTTTATTCCGTCATCACAACCAGATGCCGTCTCCTGTTGGTTTTAGAATCTGGACCTTTTTCCAAGATGTGATCCGTGTTCCTTAGCGATGTGGGTCGTTCTATTTCTGAATTGTTGAACTGGTAGAATAGTCCGTTGATCAAGCTAATGCTAGCCCGTTGCTGAAAGGGGGTTGGGTTTCCTGAGTGAAGAGGTTGGTATAGGTTAAAAATGACATACAGAGAAATCCAAAGGCTGGGAGCAGGTTAACTGGAGACGGACTTATCGGGTCCGATAGGTTCGTCTTCTGTGGCTGTGGTGCCGAAATATCAGGCTCGGGCCTTTACACTCCGTTGCGTTGACAGCGTCCGCCCCCAAGTTTGACCCGGAAGGAAAATTTTCCGCTAGCTTAGAAACCCCTTAAAACCCCCTAAACTTCACGTTTTAATAACTCTATGCGTACGTAATGCGCGTAAATAAAAAATATATCAATCGATAGCCCTCGATTAGGTGATTATAATGATATCTTTTTTATTCTCGCGTATTACGTACGCATAGAGTTATCTAAGTGTGAAGTTTAGGGGGTTTTAAGGGGGTTTCTAGGTTAGCGGACACTTAACGCAACGCTAAAAAGAAAAAACGAAACCCCCGGCGCGTTGCGTTGAACTGTCCGCTTAAAAAACCCCTCAAAATTAGCTTTAACTTCACACTTAGATAACTCTATGCGTACGTAATGCGCGAGAATAAAAAAGATATTATTATAATTACCTAATCGAGGGCTATCGATTGATATATTTTTTATTTACGCGCATTGCGTACGCATAGAGGTATTAGTAGACGAAGTTTAGGGCGATTTGGTGGTTTTTCGGTAAAAAGCCCCTTTTTTTGCCTTTTTCGGGCTAAAAACTGCGGGGTGGACGCTGTCAACGCAACGGAGTGTAAGAACGACTGTCCGACCGTGGTGTGCTCTCGGTGCCCGCGCCCTCCGAACGGCCTCCCGCCCAGCCAACACTCCACTCCGGCGACCGAGCCGACTTGGGACGATGGCCCACAGCATCAAAATGAGCAGACCAGCCCCTTATTCCAGTCTATGACTCTATGGTTTGGGCCAAGAGTGGCGCAAGAGCTCTAGCAGCTCCCCTGCGCCACGGATGAGATCAAATTCTGTTCAGTGCACCGAAGCCCGATCTATGTGTCTTTTTATAGCATAAGGCTGAAAGGGGGTAGGATACGAGACTCAGCCCGAACGTTGCAACAGCCCTACGAGCCTCAAAAAATATGCTCGCCGAGCCTTCCCTTAGGGTATCATCACTTCTGTTAAAGGGAGATCGAAACATCTCCAACTGTTGAAGCTATCCAGCACACTTGCAGCCAAGGCAAGCAAATCACATTCGTTGAACGTTTCCAGTCTTTCTTTCAGTCTCACAATAAAACTTTTCCAAATGTCTCCGCTCAAAGAGACCGGTTCTCCGGAGCTGACGGAACTGGACCCCCGCGGCGACGTCGTCTTCGTCGTAGGATCGGCGGCGGCTGAAGACACCCCTGCCCGCAGCTTCCGCGCCTGCTCCCGGACCATGGCCCGCGTATCCCCCGTCTTCGACCGCATGCTCAACGGCAAGTTTACCGAGGCCAAGCCGGCGGCATCCGGCTCCGGCGATGCCGCAGCCGATTGGGTGGTCCAGCTCCGCGACGACAAGCCCGATGCGTTTGCTCTCTTCGCCAGCATCGCCCACGCACAGTACCGCTGCGTGCCAAGGAGCCTGACTATCGACAAGTTCTACGACCTGACGGTGCTGACGCACTATTATGACGCCACGCCCATGTTAACGCCGTGGTTGCAGGGCTGGATCTCAGGGATCGGAGAGGTTCCTGACGTTGGCTCTGAGGGGTTGCTCATGCCCAAATTGCTGTGGATCTCATGGGAGCTGGGGCACAAGCAGCTTTTCGAGAGTACCGCAAGGAGGATGGTTATGGAGTGCCAGGGGAGCATGATTGGGGAAGATGCCGGCCTGGAGGAGCTGAGCATGCCGCCAGACATTATCGGTTCGTTTCCCTTGCCCGCCAACATGGCGCTTTCACTAACTCTTCGCATCAGAACGCATCAACGCCATCCGCAGCCAGACAATACAGTCCATCATGGATGTCTTCCGTGACTTGTACGAGAAGCTCGTCACCGTCGACGAAGGCCCGCGGTGGTGCCTCCATGCGTCTTACATGGGTCCGCACCGGTGCGAGAGCATGATTTTGGGCAGCATGACGTTCTGTCTAACCAGAGCTGGGCTTTGGCCGATCCCTGAAACTTCAGATGTCGATGACAGCGTTGTGATGCTGTACTCGACGTTGATGAATTTGGTTATCCATGATATTGGACGGCCAGGAGAGAAGGGGGGCGTTGACCACTCTGAGTGCAACCCCCGCGCATTCCTTATGGGTCAGATTAAGGATATTTTGGCGGAGGTCCCAAGTCCAGTAAATGATGCGCACAAGAAGCATCTGGATAGACAGATACAGAAGCTTCTGGTTTGAGGATAGAAAAAAATAAATGGATTAAAGATGATGGACGCTGGCAAGTAAATATACGTAAATAGTCATCAATGTGGTGGAGGCGTCGTGGTGAACGCCCGGGAAAGAGACTGGGATCGCATTAGACCTTTGGTTGGAAAAAGAGGTTATGTCTTAAATATTTTCTTATCTATTTTATACTACTTGGCAATAGAACAAATCTTTCTTGTTTTCTCGTCATTTTCTCTCCGACATAAGTGACTTGGGCAATCGGCGACCTCAAGAGTAAACACGCCTGACAAAGTCCAAGATACGGGGCCTTCAGGTGTACCTCAGACGTCAACCCCCTGAAAGCCGCACTATGCCAGGCCGCGATTCCCCTCCGGACGTCTTACTAAGCAGCCCCTACGGCTTCCCGAACTTCTCCGCTAGAGCCTGCTTGGCCGCTATCGCTGAAATCTTCAGATTCGCAATCAAAACAATTTCAAGTGAATTACCTCAGGACCACAGAATCCAGTTCATCGACTCAAGCAGCGCCTCAAACATCGATGGCAACTCATCAACCACTGAACACCTTTATCCTTCACTTCGGCTGTCAATTTTGTCCATCGATGGCCCGCATTTCAGCTTCCTGTAAACATGTCGCGTTCCCGTAGCGGATGTTTGACATGCAAACGACGCCATCGTAAGTGCGACGAAACCCGACCGGATTGTCTGCAATGTCTCGGCCAGGGAATTCAATGCGAGGGCTACAACGTCGTCTTACGCTGGGACACCGGGATCGCTTCACGCGGGCGGTTCACGGGAGCGCCGACCCCTGCGGACGCGCCACCTGCCAAACGCCGAAGGACGACACTTTCGTCGAGGAGCTCGTCGGGAGAGTTCCCCAGCGAGAAGGATTCAGATCCCAAGCTGGCTGCTGCTCCAGAACGAGAAAAAGGCCGGAGCAGAGAATTGTTTCCACGGCAGATTTCATTGGCTCTCCCGCCGAATCCCGGGCCGTCCGGTGCACCTCCGAAGGTCTTGCAGCCGTCCCCGCAGCACTCCGAACCGTCTCAAGCCGGGTCCCCTTGGCCCGGTCAGACGGAACAGGATCGGAGTCTTTACGAACAATGTGAGTACTTCCCATCGATGTTTCTGAATCATAGATCAATGGTTTCTACACGAAACAAGGATCACGGACTGACAACCAATACCAGTCGACAACTCTACCATATTTCTGCTGTATTCCACCCATCGCGATGACCTCTTTCGACGAGATCTTTGTCAACTCGCAAATAGGTCGGAAGCCCTTTGCTCCATTCTTATAGCCACTCACCTGTACGTGTCGAGCCCAGCCAATCCCTCGTCGCTGTTTGAAGAGTACTATCTCCGTGGGCTTCATCTGTTCCGTAAGCAGCTAGAGTCCTATGATGGTACCGTCAACGTGGGGGTAATGTACGCGGGTCTTTTTATTTGCACCCTTAATGTGAGTAAATCTCAAGTACAGGTTACCTCAAATACCTTCCCGTTTGGCCGCTAATAGTCCTCCCCCTCACTACAGCTTTTCCAAAGCGCACCATGGTCCGTTCATCTGGAGCTCATGACCACTGTCTATGGCCTGGGAGGTAGTCTGCACGGTTCTGCTATTCTAGATAACCCCGACGCCTGTTTTCCCTTGGAACTTATGGCAGTGATGGACATGCCGACCTTTGTCCGAGGACGTTCCACCATGACATTAGGCATCTGGCATAGATTACGCCAGGCCCAGGAGTCTCGTCACGAGAAGGTCGAGGGTGGAATAGAGGTAATCACTAGTCTACCACGGTCACTCCTCGACATTTTCTCTTCGATCCAAGACGACTCTTCGGAGGATGCACTGCTCTCGTGGCCAGGAGAGCTCGGCGAGATACCGCAGATCCACCTGTGGGAAGCCTATCGCTTCGCTGGAGCTCTCACTGGTCGGCGGTTGAGAAGGGGTCGGGGTCTCCCATCGTCAGCTCCGTCAACGGAGCTCCTGGTCGGTCGCCTTGTGGCAGCCATCGATGCCCTCTGCGACACACGGACGCGGTCCGAATATGACCATCTGCTCACAACAAACTCGCTGCTTTATCCGTATGTTGCGGCACGGTTGGAGGTTGCCACCTTGCAACGACGGCCTTCTTGGATGGAGGTGCTGCGCCGTGCTGTCGACATTTGCCAACCTTACGGCAGAAGCGCGAACGCGTGCAATATTGCAGACATGTTGGATGAGGCGTGGAAGGCTGGCGATGATGATTACGACATCGACGAGTATGCCAGACGGAGGAACGTGGAGATAGCTCTCTTTTGAGTGATGGTCTCCGAAGCTAAGAACTAGACGGGGTTCGAGTTATCCAGCGACGTGCACTGGAAATGTGCCGTCCAGTGTCAGAATATCCCAGCCCATCACCCTATCTACATCACTAGGCACAAACAAATAAATCAAGATGAAGTGATACCACTCGTCCAGTCTAGCGATATCATTGACAAGGTCGGTTTGAGGCTTCGCAGGGGTCGTCGGATAAGCCAAACCACATTAGGTAGGTCCAAGAGCCAATCATGTGTCTGCTCCTAATCGCCCCAGGTGTGCTTCAGTTCTGGTTGTTACCCCAGATTCAAGTTTAAGTGGAGTTTGTGCTTATCAGACGGAAGCCTTGGTTGGGCGATGATGTGGTGGTCTCAAAGGCGAAGACATTAGTATGGTCCAAATCTCATAAGAAGGTGCGATCCCAGGATCTAGATACCCTCAATCAAGAGGCTGTTTGTCTTTTGGTTGCCCGAACTAAAGTCGTCGTCAACAACATCCCAAGTGCTCAGAGGTCCCTCGATACATATAACCATGGAGATGCTTGAGGAAGATACTTACCTACCCCCTGGTAGTGCCAGACTTTTGTCGGGTAGGTTGCTTCCCTGAAGGCGCCCCGAGCGTGCGATGTTGACCTTGGCTTTTGCAGAAGAATCCGTCTTGGTATTGATTCCTGAGCCTACTGCGGACCCTAATGACCCCTTGGTGAGTACTTAAGCCTGTTTTCTGGAAGCTATCCACTCCCTCGTCTGACTACTTGATCATTATTAGAACTGGACCTTGGCTCGCAAATATGTCAACACCCTCTTCGTCCTTGCTGTCACCGTGGCAGTCTTCGCTGCGTAAGCACCCCTCCGATCACAATACCTCGACGTTTCAAAACATAGACACTCAATTGACTGACACTCGTTTGCCAACATGACCATGCAGATGGTCTTTTGGCAGCAAATGACGGTCGAATTGGGCATGACCTACGACGAACTCAACGCCGGCGTCTCCTTCAACGTCGTCGGGCTCGCCCTGGGTTGCCTTTGTATCATCCCCTTCACGAAGAAGTACGGTCGACGATCCACCTACATATTCTCGACCGCTGTCATGGCTGCAACCTCCTGGTGGAGCAGCCGCATGCGGACGGTTCCCGAGATGTATATCACGAATTTGCTCTTTGGCTTGGCCGGGTCAACGAACGAGACCATAGCTGAAATGACTGTACGTTCCATACATCGGTCACATTTCGCGCTTGTTTGAGAACAACATTGTTAACAGAGTTTGTGCTGGCAGATTGCAGACCTCTTCTTCGTCCACCAACGAGGCCTGGCGAACGGTTTCTACATCACCAGCGTCATGATCGGGAACTTCCTGGCCCCCACTCTCGCGGGTATCCAAGCAGCCTCCATGGGCTGGCGATGGGCATACTACACCGTCGGCATCATTCTCACAATCTTGTTTCTCTTATTTCTTTTCTTCTTTGAAGAGACGAAATACGTACCCGTGTCTGTTGGGGTTTCGACCGTCGAAGACTCAGACTTGCAGGAAACACAGAACAAGCTGCGAAAGACAAAGAGCAATGCCAAGGCATCGCACCCCGCCAACGACAAAGAAATCTTCGAGAAGCATGGTGACCAGGACGTTGAGCAGGTCATGCCCCCGGTCCCGCTGCCCAACAAGTACCGACAACGAATGCGTTTCTCCACCCCTACGGAGGAATCGTTGCTCTCCACCTATATTGCCCCTTTCAAGATGGCTCTCTTCCCTCATGTTGTCTTCTCAGCCATACAATGCGCCAACGCCGTGGCCTTCTTGGTCCTCTTGACGAGCATAAACTCCATCGTATTTGCTGCCCCGCCGTACAACTTCAGCACAGCGGGAGTCGGCCTCATGCTCATCAGTCCTTTCATTGGCAACATGATCGGCAGTATATATGGTGGAATCTTCGGGGACCGGATTGTTGTCAGACTTGCACGGAAGAATCGTGGCATCTTCGAGCCGGAGATGAGACTATATGTCCTCTTCGTACCGGCACTCCTCATGGGAGTCGGTGTTGTTATCTTTGGAATCACAGCAGACAGAGTAAGTCATCGTTCTACGTGAGGGAAAGATCTAAAGTCTCATGACTAACAAACGTGCCTCAGGGCATGCACTGGGTGTACCCAAGTATTGGAGGTGCCCTTTTCGCATTTGGCATGAGCTCTATGATGGACGTCAGTTTTACCATTGTGATTGACACCTACAAAGCCGTAAGTACTCAGCACTTGACAAAGAATTTGGCGCTTCAGTACTGACATAGTTTCCTTCCATTTCAGGCCACAGCAGAGTCCTTCGTGTTCATCACATTCGTCCGCAACGCAGCGACCATTGGAGTACCGTTTGCAGTGGTACCTTGGCTCAACTCCATGAGTCTTACAAACATTTCAATAATTTGCGGATGTGTAGCCACCTCTATCTGCTTCTTCTTTATTCCATTACTGATCTGGGGGCGGGGCATTCGAGTTGCGTTGCATGCCAGATATGACAAACTCATGGCGGAAACCCAAGATGTTGGAGCATCAGAGAGAACTTGATAGATTGGCATTATTTTACCTGCATACTTAGATACTAGTTCGAATTCACCGTGTCCTCTAAGAAGAGCCTACTTATTGTGTTTCCTTTCAGTCATCAATCCAGTGTCATGCCCATACTCGATTGGCAGCCGGAATTTACCTTTGAGCCCTCTTGCTGGCAAGACCGTTTGCCATAAAACTGGCTACGACGTAATATTAAACAATTCGCATGCATTCACGTCGACGTATTCCCTTCAAACTATACATGTAAGGACAGTCACGAAATATTTCCGTCTACTCAAGGTCGAGGAAGCCGATCACGGAGTCCACTCCTTCTCGGCTATTACAAATACATATTTTCTAATTGAAATGTATCAGCTCTTATCATGCGGGAACGAGAACATTTCTCAGGATTTGCTATTGCCTTTGAAACCCCATGTCCAGTCCTCATCTCTCCGCTCGAGAGGGTCCTCCTGTCCGTCGGGGACACCAGTCCGAAAATGGCAAGTCCAAGAGCCAATCAGAACACCACCCAGACACCGATCGGATTGTGCGTCCTATTGTTTTGTTCATGCTGCAGTGCCCTGAGACACGGGCATTTAAGAGGTCAACTCGGTAACCTCATGATATGAAATCATCTTCACACGCGCATCTTCCCCTCACTTCAAGCGCCAAGATCATCAGCCGCACTACAACCTCAAGGATGCCTATCACCAAAGTCGACGTGAAGCCTGCGCATGAGCAGAAGCAACTGGACGCCATACCATGGCAGGAGCTGGTTTCTAAAAAGAAGCAACAACTTGCTGGTGCTATCCCAGAAAAGTGGAAGCTTGACGTCTCCCTAGTCAGAGAATTGACAGAGGCGAATGAAGGCCGACTTCTTGAACTCGATCCTGCAAGAAGATCAGGCGTTCTAGATGATGTTGAGCTCGACATCACTGAGAGCAACTCTGCCGTGGAGCTCGTCAACAAGATGGCACTTGGCCGTCTAACGGCAACTCAAGTGGTTACGGCCTTCTGCAAAAGAGCCGCTGTTGCTCAGCAGCTTGTGAGTCCTTCCAATTTGAGCCCAAGACACAGTCCATGCAACTTGAGGAGACGCAACTGATTCAGGTCGCAGACATCGTGTCTCACGGAGTCATTCTATGATGAGGCTATCGCGCGAGCCAAGTTTCTAGATGATTATTACCGCAAAAATGGGAAGACTATCGGCCCACTTCACGGCCTACCGATCAGTCTGAAAGTACGTCTCCCCTGTTTGGAGTTCAGAATTGCTGGCACCTTCAGCTGACCGTTAAGCAGGACACCTTCAAAGTAGTGGGTTTCGACGCAACGGCAGGCTACGTTAACGGCCTGAAGTTGGGGCCTGCAACCACAAACTCGTGTTTGGTTAGCGTCTTGCTGGATGCAGGTGCGGTTCTCTACGTCAAGACGAACGTGCCGCAGACTCTCATGGTTAGACATTGCTTAAGCACAGCCATCATCCTGCTGACCCGTTGTGAAGACCGCAGACTCGGAAAACCATATCTATGGCCGCACACTGAATCCTCACAATCTCAATCTCAACGCTGGCGGGTCGAGCGGAGGCGAGGGCGCCTTGGTAGCCTTTAGAGGTTCACCGATCGGAGTTGGTACCGACATCGCCGGCTCCATTAGAATCCCGGCCATGTGCTGCGGAAACTACGGGTTCAAACCGACGAACCATCGGGTGCCATATGGAAACCAGTCTGAAGGGGTTATCTTGAGTCTTCCTGGTCCCTTCCCCTCTGCTGGTCCAATTGCTAGCACCATGGAAGATCTCCAACTATTCATGAGTGCGGTCATCAATCAACATCCGGGAGCATACGACTACACCGCTCTTGATCTGCCTTGGCGAAAGCCAGCAGTCGGACAGTGCCTGCGACTCGGGGTGTTGGAAGAAGATCCTGCCTGGCCACTGCATCCGCCAGTTCGCCGAGCCTTCGAAGATGCCGTCAACGCTTTATGCGTGGCTGGTCACGAAGTCGTGCGGCTCCCGTATGACTACGAGCGTAGCGTTGACCTTGGGCTCAGGCTCTCGTACCAGTTCTTCGAACTGGCGCATCCTCCAGAAGAAGATCTCGAAGCCGTCCTCGGCGAACCATTAGTCAAGGCCGCCGCGGCCAGAATGCACCCATTCACAGCCAAGCCACGGCCTGTGCCTAAGGACTTGGCAAAGCCGTGGCATCATCTGGATGACCTGGATGCCGCGCGTGCTAATTTCGCCGAGACGTGGCATCGGACGTGGTTTGATCACAAGCTGGATGCAATTGTGGCACCAGGAGCTGACAAGACTGCTGTGCCCCATGACACGTACGGCCTGATGCCGTACACGGTGGTGTTCAATCTTCTTGACGTAAGCTGCGCCAGTCTCTCGCAATGGGTTATGATGGCTTATTAATTGGAAAAGTACCCTTCCTGTCTGATACCAACTGGGCATGCATCAAAGACTTTAGATCCGGAGCCTGTCAAGGCGCAGGATCCCTTCTTGCCAGACTGTGAGAGGCAAATCCATTCTGATATCCGTTGGACACAAGCTGACATTTGGGGCATGTTAGATGATCCCAGGGCAGTTGACGGAACTCCCTGCGGCATTCAAGTTGTTACCTTGAAGCTGAAAGATGAAGAATGTCTTGCCGCAGCGGCTGTCGTTGACAAGGTCGTCAATGCCGACCGGCAGAAGTGAATCTCAATGATCAAGATCGCGTGTTGTGTAGAAACATAGAGAAAATGTAGCTTTCAACACTCTTAAAGTGTGAACAAAAACATCAAACCGGTGTCCAGAGTATCAAAGGCAAGGCAAAAAGGAGTTTAAGAAGCTCATGACAGGTAGGCAACACAACTCTTAGACACAATGGGCAAAAATATGCGCCGAGGGGGAATCGAACCCCCGGCTCCCCGACGCTGCTTGATGGCAACGGAGAATTTTACCACTAAACCATCGGCGCTGTTTGAATCTTGATGCTTTGATGTTCGGGGCGGTGTGTTTGGAGCCTATGATGTGTGGTTGTGGATGTGGATCATTGCGGAACATTAGGGCTGGCTTAAATTGCAACTTGATGTTGACGACATGGGTCACGATACCCTCATTTAGACGCTAAATCATGGCGGACGGTGATGGAGTCATGAAGTGGAGTATGCTGAAGAGCCATGGCCCAATTTGAAATTCAACCGGATATCATATGCGTCCTAATCACCCGTGTACATGCCGATAGCCAGCGGCCCTCAGTCCTTACTCGTGTGTGAATATACACTCGGCTTCCTTTGGAGCGCGCGATTATCCCTTGTTTGATGTTTGCCTTGGACAATCATAAGGCTGGCATTTGATATGCTTCTCTTTTTGATCTCTGAGATGACTTCGCTAGCTGTGGATCCCAGCGTTTTGCGTGGGTCAATAACGCTTGATGAGCCGTCCAACTCAATAGACGTGGGTTGTGAAACAGACGCGGCGCGACCAATTATGAATGTTGTTGCCCTGTCATCGCCATTTTGCAAGGCCAGAAACTCGGAGACAATAGCTGTGGTAGTCGCATCTTTGGTAATGTCGATCTGACGATACGTGATTCGATTGGCGATGGTGTTGTGGACATTCGCTTTGATCCGCGCGTACTTCATGTTGATGGAAGCATTAAGGTCGGCAGCCTCAACGACGGTGACTTCGAGATTCTCGTTTTGGGCCAATTGGATGCCGAGCTTGACAGCGAAAAGGTCATCTTCGGCCCCGGTGTATAACACGCGTAATGTCTTCTTGCCGCGCCGCTCTGCGGAGAAGAACCTCGCCGCGGACGGGTCTTGAAGCTCAGACAAGCTGACGCCGGAGACATGTCGTTGCAGTTGTCTAGGCTTTCTGATGCCGGGCTCTGACTTGTCGAACAATGTCGAGTCGATAAAAGTCGCGACAGCTGATATATGCCGAGCTTCGTTGAAGATGTTGTACATGAGGTTAGGAAAATCGCCGCTGGTGATCGGATCACCTCTAGTAGTTGCGCTGTAGAAGGAAGGTAGCTCAGAAATAGTGCCAGTCTCGCTCCATGGAACGAGAATAAGGTCACTGCTGAGTTTATTCGCCTGGGTAGCGAGAGTGTCCGCGAAAGAATCCTCAGGGACCACCGCAATCTGGCCGGAGATGACAACATCTCTCGTGGTGTTGTTGGCGGAGGTACCGAAAGCTTTGATGATGGGGTCATGTCCGGCATAGTCCTCAATTTCTGAGACTTTCATGACCGACGAGTTGCGCTCACTAAGGCCAACGAGGCGGCAGCCATGGATCCGAAGCAGTTCATGATGAGGTGTATCTTCTCCGGGAGCGAGGGCTGCGTGATCGACAAGCCCCTTCTCACCAGAACGATGTCCGTGAATATCGGCAGAGGAGCTCTTTGAACTGACGCTAGACTGGCCACTGGTAAACATCGAGATCGTAGACAGGAGGCTTGAGAGACCGTCGGTTCGCAGATAGACCAAAAGCTTGCTTGCGACCTCCTTTTGATCATCTTCGTCCTCACCATCTGCACCATGATGAACGATCGGCGTTCCATCCCAGTTGATCTTTCCTCTCTTCCACAAGTCAAGCTTCTGCTGGTAAGACGGAGGATACAACCACATGACTAGAGGGGACGTAGCGAAGGTTGTGACAAGAGCCATGACAACGAACATGGTGAAGGTTCTTGTGCTGAGAATCTTGGCCTGCAGGCCAATGTTCAGGACGATGAGCTCAACGAGTCCCTTGCATGACATGAGAGTGCCGATGGTGAAAGATTCACGCCACACAAGACCGTTCATGCGGGCGCCAGCGGTACCTCCAATCACCTTACTGAAGAAAGCGACGAAGATGATGGCAACTACGTAACCCCAGGTTCGACCACTGTCCAGCAGACCGAGATTGGTGTTGATTCCAGATAGCGCGAAGAACAACGGAACGAACAGAGTTGAGATCAAATCCTCGATCTTTTCAGTCAGCTTGATGGCGAAACCTCCTTCGTGGGGACACATCAGGCCGACCATGAAGGCGCCAAAGATGGAATGGACGCCAATGATGCTGGTGAAGAACGCAGAAGCCAGGACAAGAAGAAGCGTCAGGGCGACGACTCCTTGAGTTGGGCCATTTTCCAAACTCTTCGTCCTGCGAAGGACGTACATGAAAGCAGGCCGAACGGCGAACCCAAGGAACAAAGCAAACCCAATGGATACCAGCAGGATGTATACCGCAGTAACACCAGCTCCAGAGTTGACGAGGGTGACGCACAGAGCGAGAAGAACCCAGCCGACAACGTCGTTGGCGATGCCGGACGTAAGGACGATCACACCAACAGTGGTGTTGAGCAGTTTCAAGGATGTCAAGATGCGGCACAGGACCGGGAACGCGGTGATTGCCATTGCGACACCAATGAAGAGCGCAAACACTCCGAACGAGATGGGTGCGATTCCCGGCTCGTTGTGGAATTCGTTGTACAGTCCCCACGCAACTGCGACGCCCAAACCAAAGGGGATGGCCATATCCAGAGTCGCGACACTGATAGCGGTTCGCCAATTGCTGAGGAGATACGACAGGTTGATCTCGAGGCCGACAAGAAACAGGAAGAGAACGAGCCCGATGTTGGCTGCTAGTCGGAAGGGCGGCATGGAGTTCGGAGGGAATATGGCTGCGGTAAAGCCGGGGATGCGACCGAGAACCGAGGGACCGAGAAGAATACCCTGTGTTCTCGTGTTAGTTCTCATGAAGTCACGGCGAGGCGCAACGCGACTAGGCTCACAGCGATGACTTCGGCGATGACCCTCGGCTCGCGGATCTTGGACAGCGGCCAATAGAGCAATCTAGTCAACGTAATGACAATGGTTGCTTGGATGATGAACATGATAATCGGGTCGGCGGGGTTGTAAACCGAAGGATTCATGCCCTCAAAGATGCCGCCTTGTGAAGGAGCCCTGTCGCCCGTAGGCGTGGGCGTAGACGAAGTTGTCACCGCTGTCAATGTCGACATGGCGACGGTCGCGATAGAGAGGATCAGCGTATTAAGGGCCTCGGGTTGTGATCTGTAGGTCTTGAGATTCTGGATGCTGGAGGGCTCAATCAACGGTGCTGGTATCGCTGCTGTGAGGCGAGTCGAGCGAGAATCCCTTCTGACACTTCATGGGCAGCTTGCCTGGCGGGATGAACAAATTTAAGACAACCCCGCGGTATTCCTCCCCAGAGAGTGAAGTTACCCAAGACATCTTGGCCTCTGGGCTGAAGAAATGTTCGGTGACCAATTGCTGCATGTTGTCAGATCAGGATCCAGGCCTTTTCCGCCTTCAGAGAATGCCGTGGTGGCTGGACACCTCAAGACGAGATAGACAGGCGGCTTGGCGATTGACTAGCGGATTGCACCCGAAAGTGAGGATTGCATCGTAGGCCGTCTTTGGGTTGGCGCCAGGGGGCTTGGGAGCGAGGGATCGGAGACCTTGGCGTGCTCAGGCCAAGAGTTCAGCGACAATCTTGTGAGAATGTAGTGAACAGAGTTGGAAAGCCAAAGTATTCATGAGGCACCTCGTGCTACCATGTAGCGCTTTACTGACTTACTTGGCAATGGCAGTGCGGCCGTCGTGTGATAGTGGCCTCTGACGACCCTGGCAAACCATGTGCTGTAAGTTGGCGGCGTAGGAGACACAGGCATCCCAGCCAGCCAAGATGCCCGGGAATCCTTTCGAATCAGTTGCTTGCTTGCCAGCAATGGCCACGCAATCTGGAGGGAATCGGGGGTCATGCTGCTTTCAGGTGGCTTCGGCCAAGCCGCAACTATGTGAGAGCTGGCATGGATTGGACTCTGCCATGCCTACTGTCTACATGCCGCTCGAGCATGTGAAATAATTAGACAAATGATGAAGAAGTCTACCCAGATGATTTGGACATGGCGACTGGGTGAGAGTCCCAATTGAACGGTTGACAGTATGCCCAGGCTATGGCTCGAATCCCCAATCGCTGCATCCTCCTGTAAAGTTTAGCCACGTCTCCCCGCATTCCCCTCAATTTGCATGATTTACAGGGCGCGTCGCTGGAGAAGTAGTGGGATTGGCACACCGTCACCTGTCAGGCGATGTGCTTGAAAACAACTGGCGTATGTTTTCCACGACGCACTTCCAAATGGCTATGGAACATCGTGCGACACGGATACTGCATGCATAGGAACTGAAAACAGATCATTTCCTGCTACATGAACACCTGATGGCTGAGTCTGAAAGCTGTTCTGGGCCACTCTGTTGAGAGCTGTACCACCTCTCCAGACCGATTTCTAGTACCTTCGACAGCGGTCAGTGACGTCAACGCTCAGCGGCGGCAGGTTCTCAGCACGAAGCTGGTTGCTATTAATCAGTGCAATCCTGAACAGCGACTCTCTCGACACATCATGATAGACGTCTTGAACGCATCTTTCATCGTCTTATCTTCACCTCCCGTCAAGTGTAAGCTCGGATTTTTTTCGGCGGTCGCAACCGAGCTCAGATCTGAGTAACCGCGTGCTGTTTAGCAGCGCCAGTCTCAACACAAAAAATGGTTCTGTAAGGTTTTAACCTTCTCTGTTCCGACAGATAACATTAGAGTCCGTCATGAATCCACCTATTTCCCATAGGAACCTCATTCGAGCATATCAAACGACCACAGTTACAAGGCGACCGCCATTATGCACGATCAGTTCACCCAGACCAACACGAATGCGTACAATGGAACGCTGCTTCATCACGATGGACTGCACAGCGCTCGATTGGAAGGGGGACGTGGGGCAGCTGTGGAGATCTTAGTCAGACTAGCCGTCGCTACTTCCATCAATCACATCCTCGATAGTCTAGTGGTGAGGATATCGGCTTGTCATTCAACGATTCGCCGGGGACCGGGGTTCAATTCCCCGTCGAGGAGTTTCTCTTTTGCCTTTTGCTGTTTTCGATCTGTCCTAACGAGGCGCGCTGTTTTTTCTTTTCCTCTATAAGGCTACTACTAGTGGCTGACTGGGCGTTCTTTTTTTCTCCTGTACTACGATGGCTCACTTAAACACTACCACTTCTAGGTCGTTACCGCTCTAATAGAAATGTGAAAACTCTGCTATAAACTGCTGATCTTATTTATCTCACCCCAGGTTAGCTCATTCATCCCGCAACTGGCTCAGGGAAACCTGTCTCCTTGGGAATCAACTTGTATATGAATTTGCACTTTAGAGTTAGTCACAAGTTCTAGACTTATTCCAGCATGAGGCGTATCCCATTTCTCCCGTTTCTCAGTTTTTCTCTTCTAATTTCGAAGTACCGCACTGGGTTTAATGTTATATGTGCCGCAGAAGTTCTTGCTAGAACCGAGTAGTTCGGCATCTTCCTTCTATAACAATGTCCCATTTAGTGAATGACTCACTTTGGTTGAGGATGTCTCGGGAAGAGCTGTCACCTAATGTTCATCGCACGACTCGATGCTCCTTTGTAGTTGGATCTCAATGTTTTCTGATATTTCAAAAGGGGGCTGACTTTGCGCTTCTTCTCTGTCCGATCAACTCATAGCTTCCCTGATCAGAGCGATATTCTTCGACAGGGCTGACTTATAAGCATCATTCTGACTTTCGATACATGACTCCGTGACGACGGATGGAACGGCTGTTGGTTTCACGTAAATCGTGCTGTTCATTTTACTTATTTCTATCTAATATTAAATGCAGTCTAAACTCCAAGCTGGACGGGACGGATCAATGTGAACGGAGCATGTTGGATCTGAATGTCATTACACTGCTTTGCTGTCAATTGAAAGCTACGGCGCGGCTTGCGGGTGCAGCGATGATTTGAAAGCTCACCGCAGCCGTCAGAAGACCGAGTGGAGTTGATCAGTTCGTAACTGCAGAGCATATATCTGACCAAAGCAAGGTGGTTTCGCGTCACAAAGTTGACTTGCCAAACCAGGCCGTTCTGGGTGTTGATGCAAAGGGTAGATTATTTGAATAACGCAACAAGGATTTTACTTAAAAAGTCTAATCCACGTTTTTTTGTGTCGTTAAGATCTGTCACCGTAAGCTGAAATTACATTTTCGGTTTCGATTTCGGTGAACTACTTCGTCCGTAACATGACACACCTTCACGATGTTGTGTGGTCCAATTTTATTGCTTTTGTCTGTGTGCGCGCATGTTAGTGTTTGGAGTCGGAATCGCTCTCGGAATCAACCCCAGTTCCGAGCATTTCCTCCTCAGGACACAATGTTACCTCTCATTCGCTTCTGACATCCACGTTTATTTAGTGCCATATGTCATAGAATCAAGAATTCGACCTTAATGAAACCTCGTAGGGCCTAGATCTACGTCGCTTTCAGCCCTGTCGGTGCGATTTCGGTTTTGCTACACACTGTACGAGAACCTCGTTCTTCATCTAAATTGACTGCCAAGTTGCGAACCGGCACCGTGCTATTTTCCGGCTGAAACGGCCGGTGGTATCATCCTTGTTGTCTCCTACCCCAACATGGGCCCAGCTGCCGTCACAAAAGGAGACGAGAATGACTCGTTTCATGATGCTATTGGCGGGGATCTCGCTACACCCCCACCTGCCCCGTGAAAGCAAAAGAGGAAATCCATATAACTATGACTAAGGCCGCTCTCCGTAATCCACCGACCCGGAAGCCCGGCCTGCATCTCATGACTTTTTCCCAATCTGGCCAAGATACAATTATTGCTCTCCTTGGCCACAATCAGATCCGAACCAACATTGTCTCATCCCACCGGGGCCATACCAAGTCTTCTATGATTATGTTATTTTAAGCCGCAACGCACGACGACTCTCGGCACACCGCAGCTGGCAGATAGCTCCATGCCTACTCAGTTCTATCGCCGTTCGAGAAACGGTCAGTCGCATGAGTGACACGACGCGCTTTGCGAGGGCCTCGCTAACCTTATTCGCATAGGGTGCGTGACTTGCAGAGCCGCTCGTATCAAATGCGACGAGGCGCACCCGCTCTGTAAGCAGTGTGAACGTCGTGGCTTAGCATGCGGCGGTTACAAAGTCAAGCTGAAGTGGGTTGAGGCCAGCGATGTCAGCCCGAATAGCCAGGCCTCGGCCAAGAGTGTTGTCAAGCCCAGGAGCTCGCTGGCGATATGCCCATCATCCAAGACGGTAAAGGCTATTCAATGCAAGAAGCTCTCGAATAGCTCGACCGCCTTAATCCGAAATCCAACAACAGGACCTCGTCTCCACTCTTCGTCGGATGTGTTCATATTCACGCATTGGTCAAAGTCGTTGCCCGATCTGGTGTATCCAAATCCAGAGGAATATGTGAGTGTGCGAGAGCCATATCTGGCTTTCGTTTGGCAGCAAGATTCCATCCTTCTACCGGCGGTTCTTGCTGCCGGCGCGTCACATCTGTTCGCCCTCGGGATTGTTACACAAGAAGAGGTTCTAGAAAGAAAACAACGAGCTCTGGGTCAAATGGTGGCTTGTGTACAGCAACAGAAAAGATTGCCTCCAACCGAGACTCAGCGCAAACTGCCGTTGTATGTAAGCGAGGAAGCCATCGCCGCGTCTCTAGCATTGATCGGCTTGGAGATCATGCAAGGATCAGACACCTGCATTATTCGTCCTCTGATCAGGGGCACAAGGGCCCAGCTTGAAGAACGAATTCTTTTGTTACAAGCGATGAGCGATGGTTCTCAACTTGAGAAGCCCACCCCCATGATGTCTGTTAACATCAAGATGCTGGCTTACATGGACGCGTTGTGCTGCGTTCCCTGCGCAAGGAAGCCGGTGTTCGACCGTCAATTTTGGCAAAGCATGATCCTACCCCATTGCAGTACATCTGCGAAGAGGTACCCAGACATCGTATTCGGGTACACAACCGACATACTACCGCTAATGGGAGACTCTGGCGCGTTGGTTGAAGATTTCTTCAGCGGGGGGATAACACCCGAGTCCTTCGTACTATCTCGGTACTGTTTATTGCAAGAGCTGAATACTTGCTGCAGAGAATTACCTGCAGCAGTACAGCAGCCCTTTTGCGAAGGGGCCGACTCCGACACTCTGGAGAGCCACAGGATAAGAACAGGAAACGCCTGTATCGCAGCAGCCCTCTCCTTCGGGCTTGCAACGCAGATCTTCCTTCTTCGCGCCGACGATGGCGACTCGAGCACAACATGGACAGATCAACCGTTGAAGCAGTCGTTAGCTCTGGTTGAGCAGCTATCCGAGGCAGTACTAGCGGTTCCTGTCGACACCTTTGCGTCCACGATGATGATCTGGCCAATGTTTGTACTTGGTTGTGAAACCATGCCGGTTAGCTCACGGCGACACCAAGTCGAACTTCGACTTGAAAAAATGCTTGAGAAGAATGGACTGCTCAATATTTCGGTTGCTCTCGAATTGCTTAGGAACAGGATATGGAAAATTGACGGCGTTCAACAAGGAGTCAAGTCAGACGAGAAGTCCCCATCGCCGGAAGGGACACGTCCATACTTGCAAAGCGACTGGGTCAGGTATTGCTGGGCGGAAAAGTTAGAGTTATGTGCGGCGTAGTAACAGGTTGATGGGTAGATTTTTGATGAAAAGGACTTGATGGGATAGGCTCGGAAGCGTCAAGGAGTATGAGTTACTGATATCAATATTGCTATTTTGATTCTAATTATCTATCTACATGTACACGCTTGAATAATTTTGGACAGGGAAAATGTGACTGGCACACATAAATATAGACAGGAAGGAAAGGGGTATCTCGCCGGTTTCCGTTTAGTACAAATGATTCACTTTGCAACCTTTTTCGCCTGCTCCTCCAGTGTCCGAATAAGTTTGCTCTTTTGCCGAATGTTCTTGCCCCACTTAAGAAAGATGAAAGGAATGGGCATGAGCACCACTTCGGCGACACCAATAGTGATACCCGCGATGCGCGGGGTGAGCGCATGATACATGCTCTTGCCCACGATGACGAGCACAGCGCCCAAGATTGATCTGAAAACGAGATTGCCTGCAGAGGCGGAGGTGGCATACATGCCGAATACATTTGAGATGTAGCCGGTGCCGTAAATGAAAACAAGGCCGAAGCCGTATCCAAAGGGAACGCCTGACAGAATGCTCCAGTAAAAGGGAATTTCGATGGGAAGGGATGTGAGCGCGAACGCCAGCTGGCCGACTGGTTCGAGCACAGCACCGATACAGATGAGAAGAACGGTGGCTTCCGGCTCAGGCTTGCCTGTCTCCGGGTTTTTGGGTTGGCGTTGAACGAGTTTTCGTAGCAAGGGCTCGGTAGCGAGGACGAGGGCGATGCCAACGAACACTCCGAGGAAAGCAAGTCCCGAGATTGATGTGGACCAGCCTCGTTCGTCTTGGAAGATGATGGGGAAAGCGACGTATGCCAATTGCACAATGGCATAGATGACTGAGATGTAGATGTTCCAGAACATCAAGACAGGCTCAGTGAAGGACAAAATGAAAGGTCGAGAGATGGAAGTGCGAATTCTGCGGAAGAGGGGGACGGAGTCATCGAAGTCAGACCAGTAACGGTGGTCGCCTTCCTCCATTCTCCTCGTCATCGCCTTCTTCCTCAGAAGCGTTGGGCGGTATGTTTCAGGGACAGTCATGATGAAAAGGGCGCCCACAGCTGTTGAGATGAGCGACATCCAGTTCAGAGACCTCCAGCCCCAGGCTTCAACCATGAAACCGCCCTAGGGATGTGTCAGCTCATTGTTGGAACCAAAGTGAGATGGTGTATGTACTTACAATGAGAGGTCCCAGCACCGGGCCGTTGAGTGGACCAAAGGAGTAAACTGAGATGGCGAGAGGAAGATACTTGGGGTCGGTGATGTCCATGATCGATCCAGCAACGTTGGAAAGCATGACACTTCCGGCGACAGCTCTGTTGTGACGTCAGTATGTTGTCACGAACAATGGGGGCTTGGGATCACATACCCTAAGAAACGGGCGACGATGACCATGGTGAAGTTCGTCGCGAGAGCTGCCATGGGGATCAAAGCCAGGAAAACACTGAGGCCACCGATGTACATAGGTCTTCGACCAAATGTCTCACTTAGCGGCGCCATGATGAGAGCACCCAACGCCAGGCCGACGAGGTAGAGTGAGATGCCCAGCAATGGTAGTGACTGGTTGGTGACGCCGAGCTCCGGGACCATTGAGTTGATGCCACTAGAGTAGGCGGTGGAATAGATACCGGTGGCCAGGGTGGTGAAGGCGAACATGCCAATGACGAGTATCCTGTAGGCTACGGACCAGCACTTTGGGTCGTCAGGATCACCAGGATAGAAGTCGACACGGAATGCCTTGAGGGCCTTGGGGACGTCATCGTCCTCGCCCTTTTCTTGTTGTTGCTGCTGCTGCTGTTCGTACTTCTCGAAATCCTTCACGTCAAAGTCGAAGTCGGGGACGTAGAACGACCACCGAGGTGGGAGGTTCGTCTTCTCGTTGAACACTCCATCGATATACTCGTTGGCGACGGGGAAGTATGACAGTCGGCTTAGGCGTGGTAAGCGTTCTAAGCTCTCTGCGATGGGGAAGCGTTGGCTTCTCCTCATCCATGAGCTTCGAGCGTTGATGAATGAATGCCGCGCTGGAGGCGGTCTAGGCGGCAGAGGCGCGAATCTGGTCTGCTTTGCCTGGTTCGGTGGGAAGAAGTTCAGCCTGTCCGGGTCAGGCACTTGCAGCGACATGATTGTATGCTCCTGGGGTGAGAGAAGGAGGAGAGCTCAGTCAACGATGGGCCTCAATGAGTGATAACTGCAGACACTAGGGACGGGAACCCGCCAAAGGCCCGGTCTCACCCTATCAGGAAGAGACGGCCGGTCCCTAAGGGGGCGAGAAGCGCCCATTTCGGCTCGTTGCTTGTGCAATGCATGTCTTGGGCAACCCAACGATGGCGGCTAATACGCAGTCCTCCCCACATGGGGGTACGTCAAATGTCGTCAATGTAGCCGCGAACTCGGCGTGGCTGATGAGCACTCTCCTTGGGGACCCCGGCCCCGAGGATCAACGGGGGCCTCCTTTGTGCGGATCGACACCACCGCAGCGGTCCCCCGGGCATGATTAATTTCTCTGAGAGCTCCTGAATCAACTAGACCTCGGGGCTCCACCAGCAGTCGTCCGCAGCTCAGCCTATCCCTGGGACTACGCGTCAAGCCCGACAACCCCACGTGCCGTGACAGCTGGCGTTATAACACACTGTTTTAAGGACTGTGATCGGATATGCCGTGGGTCCCGTTGATCGAATCAATGCGACTCAGGGCAGGTTTCTCGAAGAGCACTAGGAACCCCCTGTCGGTCGATGGTCCGCGCCCCCTAAATTTTCCTGGTTCTGCACGGGCGATCCTCCTGCAGGGGTAACGGTGGCAGGATATGCAGCATTGTTCACAGTAACCGCTGCTGATAGGGAACGAAAACAAGCAAACCGCATCCCAGGTGCCGTGTTTGGAGCCTGTTGGAGAGAGATTGCAGTGAGTTCATATCAATGTGGGGACCGTCTTGGGCTGCTGCAGGCAAGCCAAAACAGACTCACGGAGAGCTTGTGAGACGCTGGTGAGTTATCAGCCAGATCTGTTGCACAGAAGCAAGCGCTTCACCCACCAATCTGTGGCAATCTGTGGCAAGCTCCGCAAAAGAAACTCATCGTTTGGGACTTCTGGGGTTGAATGCATGTTTTTATCGGTATCACGGCACGTCATTGTGCTTCATGTTGGCTAACCGGCACGCAAACGCGGCATGTTCTAGAGCGAACTCGGAAGTGATGATTTATTGTCAATGTCATCAATGATGGCAACATGAAGGCATGTCGTTGAAGAAGAAATGATGAGACGCAAGGGAATTTGGCGAATGTTAGTACGAAGGTTTGCCAAGATCATTGTCTGCATGTCGGTAGTCGGCTGAACAAGTTTGGGGGTCTGAGTCGAACTCAAATAAATTGACTTCCGATTTGGATACTTTTGCCGAGATCGAAACAACGACATCTTCGTACCGAGTACGATTGATCAAAAAGATGCCCAAATTGAAGCACAAATAATAGCGAGAAATGCGTTTTAGAGTCATGATTCAATTTTATTGTTCGCATCACAAATTAGCAGGGATAGGCGAAATTGTCTTGAAAGAATTTGCGATCATCGAATTTTGTGGTATCCAAATATCTGAAGAAAAGTCTATGAACATCCAGCAGGCCATCAAATTTGAACAAATGAACCCATCAGAAGATGTAATGTAAATGTACAAGAATGTGGACATCATGAGAGCCTTTATGTAACTCTGTCCGCTGCAAGAAGTAAACCCTTTACCCTAAACGCCCCGCCAATCAAGAATAAACTGCACAAATCTCAAAAAGCAATCCAAGTCGCTTATTTTGTCTTGAAGGCCTGGCCAATAGCGCCGCCGGGGTGGTTCTTCGCGAACACATTTGACACCGAGGAGTACATCTCCTTGGAGGCGACATATGCGAGAGCATCACCGACGGCGATAGCCATGGTAGTGGAGGTGGTGGGAGCAGAGACGCCAAAGGTCTCCTTCTCAGACTCCGGAATGGGAGCGGGGAGGAGAATGAGATCTGGTCGTGCCTTGGCGATCTCGCAGGTCTCCATGCGAGTAGGCGAGGTGAGGAGGATGAGAGGGCAGTTCTTGTTGAGATGCGGGAGGAGGAGCATGAGCTCGGGGGTCTTGCCGGAGAAGGTGATCATGATGAGGGTGTCATAGTCGCCGATGATGCCAAGGTCGCCGTGAAGGGCCTCGGTAGGGTGGAGGAAGACAGCTGGAATGCCCAAGCTGCTGAAGGTGGCGGTAAGCTTCTTGGCAATCCAGCCAGACTTGCCAACACCGATGAAGACGACCTTGCCACGGTGATCGCGGTGGCGGGTGAGGACCTCGATGGAGCGGAAGAAGCCATCACGGCAGACGCGCTCGGACGAGTAGAGCTGCGTCAGGGCCTGAAGTGCGTTGGCTTCAGTGCGGAGAACGTGGATGGCACCTTCGAGGCGATCTTCGTACGAAGAGCGGCTAGTGCGATCTTCGACGGTGGTGTCCCTGAGGGGAGATCTGGGCATGGGTGACTTGGGGCCACGGATCTCGTAAGATTTGGCGAGGTTGACGTTCAACTCAACGGGGCCGCGGCTGCGCATGCCCATAGCAGATCCAGAGCGAGGAGGGACCATTTTGAAAAAAGTGTGAGTGAAGAAGGCAAGAAGAAACGAGTCGCTGGTGTTATTGTTTTTTGCGAAATGTGAAGTAGACAAGAGAGTCCCGCTCAAGCTATTGAATCAACCCTGTTGATGTTGGAAAAAAGAGGAAAATGGTTGGCAAGTGGATTGCTTGATGATCTCAAAGGTGATGATGATGATGGACTCGATAGTGGTGAGAGGAGATCCGCTCTTTAATACTGATCAAAAGGGAGCTCGCTTTACTAGTCCTGCCATATTGATATCTCCAGTTCTGGTAAGAGGAGTTGGTCGTTAGGCGTAAAGCGGATACTCATGTCCATGCACAGGGAGGTACCCAGCTTGGGCCTATCATGGGCGATCTGCCGTCAAGTTCATGACAGTGGCGGTCGTCTTCGGATGAAAGCAACGGTGTGGCCCAGGTGAACCCATGCTCACCGTCGGGGAGCAAACGAGAGCCTTCATTTACTCAGGACATGCACGTTTGGCCCGGCAAGAGGAGCTGACGAAGTTGCGTCTCGAAATAGCCCACAATAAACAACGGGCCAAGACTGCAGCCATTTATCCAATGGCAACCTGACGCGAGGGCTTGTGCGCTCGATTGACAGGCATATGCCTGGCCCAGCATAATCGCAGCCACCTCACTTCCGCGGTTGTGAACTTGTTATCAGGTTCCACCACGGGCGTATGGCTCGATTTGTGCGAGGTAGACGTCAAGCCACACCGACGAGGGGGGAGGATCCCGTTCTGGGCCAACATCTTGCTGCGTCCCTGCATGCGCGGCCAAGGGGATGACAGGCGGCGCGTACAGGCTTGGCCATCTTCCCCAAACTGTACTCATCTCCGTCCGACAAGGAGCTACTCTAGATCTCTATCAGGTTTGCAGTCTCTACTCCTCACCTAGACTGAACTTTAATGGTTATCAATCCGCGCTAAATGCATGCTTCCGTAAATTGCTTTTGCAGTTTCTAAACGCTCGCCTCGTCCTGTCATTCGACGACGCCATGGTCGCGCCAAGATAGCCGCCTGTTGGACATAGAAACACACGCTTGGCTGGCTGTCTGGAACTCTGGGGAACTTGCACGTGGTGTCCACGAGTAGCCATCATGAGCAGCAACTTTGCCCTGTTACAGTCCCCTGACTCTGGCTTTGCACTGCAGCTCGTCCGATTTCTTTCAGATGACGGTGTCTGTTCGACATTTTCCTTTTACCTTCTTCTAGAAGAAAAAATGTCGGCCGTCTGAGACCGTTCCTGTCTCAATCTCCAGAGCTAACGGGCGTTGCAACAGGTCTCAGCCGCACTAACGGTGGACGACACGGCACAAATGGGGGCACGTCATCCACTTATCGATGACTAGGCGATTATCAATGAAAACGGCATCTTCCAGCAACAAGTGGTCCTGGGCGCGCGCTAATTGCGTGTGCCGTTCGCCCCGGGCGGGCATATGTTGTTGAAAAGGAGCCGCAATATTGAATTTGGGCCTTCTTAATTGTACGGGAAGTGGATGACGGAAAGTTTAACGGTGGAGGCAACTAAGAGGGACAACAATATGCTTTGGCGTCTGCGTAGCAACGCTAGGAAGAATTTTCGCAGCTGGGCAGCTTTAACCGATAGATGGCGCCCAGAAGGCCTAGAAAACCGTCAACGCTGAGCCACAATCTGACATCTGCAAGATCCCATGTCCTTCAGCCACACCGAGGAGGGAGGGAGAAAGAAGGCGAACAAGAGTCAGTTTCATGTCCCGGTCTAGTGCTTGGTCAGGCCCATCCTTACCGCCATGGGTGCAGGGGCAAGCAGGGTGTGGCTGGACCCGACCCTCTGGTCGGGAGGGGCCGTCTGTGCAGCAAGATCCAAGGGTAGGACATCCCTGATTCCCTCGAGAGGCACAGAGATTGCACAACTCTGCCTCTGCCAAGAGGTTGTGCCGAGGAATACTCCATGAGAGCTGCAACCCTCGAGTAAACAGCAAATAGTGTGCTGCGTGAGGCTTTCCTGAAGCTGGTAGCTTGGCAGCTTGGCTGGGGCATCAACCTAATTGTGCGCTGTTTTTAGTTGCTTGGGGGGCCGTTTATCTGAAGTTCTCGATTTCTTGGGCTTGGCATCGATTTACATGCTCTTCGTCCGGTCTTTCGGTCGCAGATCAGCGACAAAGTTGGTAAATCATGGCTTTGTTGACGCAGTACGAGCTGCCCGGGTTTTCCTGCTCCCCCAAACTGCCCCAAACTGGTTGCCTGTCAACCTGCACTCGCTCGCCCACTCTCACTCAACCACCTCATCTGAATCGGTGCTCCCGCGCGATCCTGCGACAGTCACGGACCTGCAGAGGGAGCTAACAATATCTGGGCCGCACTTTTGGAAAGTGCCGTCCCAAACCATTGTCGCAGCTCTCGTAACACGCGAGGAGAAAGAGATGACACTGACACTGACATGGTGATACGGTTCGGACGGCCCCCGCGGGATGTCCGTCTCTAACATGCTGTGTGATCCTGCGTGCTCCTCGCTGACGACCTCAGAGTCTCAAAACGGCGGCCAGGAGGAAGTCGGCCTCCGAGTCCGTCTGTTTGTTCACTGTTGGATTGAGTCCACCGAGGAGATAAGCCTTCAAACGGATTCAGAAAATTGGAGAAATGAGCAAACCCCCTTTGTGAGACCCAAGCATGTGCAGCGGCCATTGGGCACAGCAATACGCGCCCTCGTCGCCAGATGGATCCGGCCCCCCACCATTGAAGCTGCAACGCTCCACCAACGTCAGCATTTCCAACAAGGCTACCTCGCCGCACCATGGTAACGGCCCATTGCTTTTTCTTCCCTGATCTTTCCCACGTTGGGTTTGACCGTTCTTCAACTGCCGACTTGGGTGGGTGGACCGAGTCCATTGTCTCTTAATTCCGGGGCGACGGGTCGGTTCCGTCCACGACTCCAAGGTGTCTCTCCCAGACGGCTCCGTCCCCCGTATTGACCGGATCTGGGGCACAGGCTTTTACGGCCTAGTTCGACGGAGCTGTCAGAGCTTCTTGCCAACCCTGATGAGTTTAATTGCGAATGCCTGTGATTGAAAGACGTGCTTTCCGGCCGGTGGGCGGCCAATGTGACATTGGCGGTAGCCCCTTTTCGGCATAAGAAAAATTGGGCAAAAGAAAGAAGAAAAGAATTGTCGCAGAGTCGTCCTCAACAACCACGTCAACGTCCGCCACTGGCTGCGGCAATTGACGTATGTGGTTCATCTGACGTGGCTATCATATTCGAAAGCTTATTTTTCACGGTATTGACGCGGCTCGATGCTACGCTGGCAGACTTTTCCAGGCTGCATTTCGCCTCGGTCAAACCGGTGAAACGGGATGTGGGGGTCTACCGATGGAAAATCCTTCCACCGCGCGACAATGCATAAACGGGAGAGGCGGCTCAACTGCCAGTTTCATTCTCTAGGCCCACAAGATGGCGCCAACAGCGTCCTCTTTGGCATGGAAAACGGGTTGTGAATTCCCACTTGTCGGACCCGTCAGGCCATCGCGGGATGGCGCAGGCTCGAGCTTGCCGCGCGCTGTGCAGGGCAACGGGAGGGCGCCGTCGCCGCCGCCGCCGCCGCGCCGCGTATCAACCCGATCAATCGGGTGGCTTGCTATTGTCCAGGTAGAATCGTAATATCGCCAAAGCCTCCCTGAGGCTCACGTCAACGACGGCGGATAACCCGTTGGACCCGTTTGGACGGGACAAACAAGGCTATGCGACATGCCCTTGGTTATCGCTAAACGAGCCCCTCGCAGGACAAACTCGACTTCGGCAGCCGCCTGCCGGATCTTCATGCAAACCTCTGCCATTAGGCTTTATCACGCTTGTTATGTTAGTTGAGGCTCACCAAGAAGCCTATATCGATATTCGCATCGAATTCACTTGCCGACTTCACATCAAAGAAGATAGTGTAAAAATAGACGCTCTGCTCGTCCGATGTGAGAAACTGCCGCAGACATCTGTGCATCAGCCTGTTGCAGACGGTTCACACTAGTCAGGCTGATGGTGTCCTCGGTCAAAAGTCGAGATGACATGCTGCATTCTGTCTGACAGCCCTACGGAAGCAGAAAGCTTCCATACTGGTGGATTCTCGACCAACCATTCATCCCAACATCACTAGTGAGACTGCCATACCATGCGAATCAGGGCTGAGCACGACATGGCCGAACAACATACGACCAGCATTGCACTCGGTGAAGATCAAGTTTCGAGAATGCCGTCCAGCCGCTGGGCTGCATACTCTGAAGGGTTCGACGTCTTCGCTTATTGACGTGCGTAAAGGTCCAGTATTCCCAACTTTGTTTTTGAGACCGAGAGGATTAAAAAGTGGCTATCAGAACAGAGAGAACGGTCTAGAGTGCTGGATAACCCATGCCAGATTAAAGGGCGACGATCCGACGATCTAACTGGGGTGGGGGCCCCTACATAGTACTAGAGCTGCAGGTGCGTGCAACGCAAAACGTCTTTATCTCCTAGTCTGTGAGATTTCGCCTCAACCCTTGTAAAGGGGCGCCGCAAAACCACCGAGGCCAAGTCCATAATCAGGAAAGTCGGCTTCCCGAACGAGAAGCAAGCTGCAGGCCCCCAGATATCAATCTAGTTGACAAAGTGCCAAGTGAAGATCATGAATGATGAAAAAGACGGGTCTTCGTGTTTTTGTTGTTGGCAGCTAGATTTGGCAAGATGCATGTGCTCAGGGGCATGTTGGAGCTTGCCTAGAAGAAAAACCTCTCATTGTTGGACATGGCATGTGCAGCACGGATGAAGACCCGGAAAGAGAAAGTTGTTCAAGTTTGTTCAATTTCACCGCTTTTCATGACAAACATGCAAGTGCTATCTATCAAATCTATGTCTAGACCGCCCTTGCGCTCAAATGGCGCACCGCACCGGAAGCGGAAGGTACATCATTATCATGTTCACATCCCTAAGGTAGCTTAGAGCTTCTCCTTCTCGGCTTGTGGGCGGAGACCGTACACCGTGACGCCCTTGCCGGCATCATGCCTCGTCCTCTCGACCTCCTCGAATTCCAAGGGAGCCGAGTTGGGAGCAAGGACGTGTTGACGGTGCCACGGCCCAACAAACAAACCATCGGGGTCGGCCTCGTCACGGACCCGTCGCCACTGGACCAGGTCGTCTCCGTACCACTCCTCCAGCTCCGTGTTCTTGACGGTGAAGTTCTTGGCCCAGTGAGGCTTGCCACCGAGGTCGCGCATGAGCCATTCGAAACCCTGGAACCAGCGCTTCAAGCCAGGAGGATCCAGGTCGTAGGGACGGTACATGGTGGCGTTGAGGTTGAGCGTCGGGCCATCCTTGATGGTGCTGTCGAGCCACGGGCGGTTGCGCTGCTCGGCACTGGTGTGCACGGTGGCGTCGCACACGCGGACCTCGACGGGAGAGTGGATGTAGAGACCCTCCGCGGAGTACGGGATGCCGTGGTCGACGTAGTAGGGGTCACCCGGCTGCAGCCTGTTGATCCAGGATCCGAGACGCATGAGCGCCTCCGGGCCTCTGTGGAGAGGGATGGCCCACTCGTTCACGTACTGGCTGTACAGGCAGTTCATCCACAGAGCTTTGTCCATGGGCTGGACAGCTCCGGTGGTGTAACCGTTCTTGAAGCCATATTGCATGCCAAAGACAAACCTTGAAAAGCCATCAGCATCCGCGTACTCGCTAGTCATTGGTCGTGGGGGTTGTGTGTTGGACTTACCACTCGATCCATGGAGTAATCTTGGGGATGTAACGCGACAGGTAGAGGAGATTGTGGTAGATGTGATAACCGAGCGCTCCATCGTAGTAACCGACGGGAGGGTCGCGGTTCTTCTCTCTGCCGGACTCGAGGTCCTCCTTGGTGACGATGTCGGCCTTCCATACGACCGCCCTCCTGGTATAAGGCAGCCACCACACCCGCACAAAGTCCGACGAAGTCCACAATTTGTTGTTTTGCTTCCAAGCATCCAACATGGTGGTATCAGCCTGGATGGTCTGGTTCCACCTCAGACTGAAAGCAGGGACAGCTCGGAAGCTGACCTCTGTGATGATACCCAACGCTCCGAGGGACAGGAGGGCGCCGCGGAACAGATCCGGGTTCTCATCCGGCGAGCACGTTACCGTCTCGCCGTTGGCCAGGGTGATCTTCAGGGAGGAGATGGCTTCCGACAGCAGTCCGTATTTCAGGGTGCTGCCACGGGTGCCGGTGCTGATAACACCAGCGATGCTCTGCTCGTTCACACTTCCCAAGACAGGGAATGACAGACCGTGCTTGTTCAGCTCCTCGGTCAATTGCCAAAGCCGGATTCCGGCCTGCATGACGACCAATCCCGTCTCCTCTGTTCAAGGTTAGCGCCGGAGCCGGGTTGGGCTGCGAAACAGATATGCTTACTGTCGACAGACAACACCTTCCTGAAGTCATCCAGGTTCACCAGCCAGTTACTCGTGCACGTCAGGTCTGACGGCGAGTGGCCGCAGCCGACTGTGGTGATGCGCCGCCTGCACTTGCGAGCAAGCTTGATCGCCTTCTCGACTTCCTGTTGCGACTGCGGCTGGATGTACAGCTCGGGCAGCGAGGCGAAAGTCCGCGCCCATGTCGTATGAAAGTGGGCTGCGCGGGCCCGGAAGGGCACACCGTCGGCGGCCGCATCCTCGATGATGCCCTGGATGTGCGGCTCGAGAGACGCAATTGCAGCCATCTTGCTTGACAAATGATTAAAGATGCAAGACAAGAGAGGAAGATCACGACAATTGGAGAAGAAACAGCTCCTCAAAACCAAAGATGGAGGCTGTTTGTATGGCTCCTTGTCGGTGAAGGATGTGAGGGAAAAAACTGGTGCGTTGTTCGAAATTGAGGCTAACGACGGGTTATATTACAATCCTAGTTTAGCGTCCGTTATGGAGAAGGAATGGATTCTGGTTCGATTCGCAGGGATCGGATCCGGTGTGGATGACGAGTCAAGGGCCGTGGCTTGAGGTGGCTCGTCTCAGATGAACATGGATATATCATGTTCCCCGACCGCCACTTATGCCGGCCGGCGAGGGCCGGTAGGAGGCAGATTGAAAGGCCGCACAGAGCCAGGGTCACGTTTTTTTCTTTTTCTCTCGTTAGGGGTCCATGACACCCATGTTTATCGGTTTTTGTGGCAGGTTGAGACGAGCTGACACGTGCAATCTGGCTGCGAAAGTCGACGATTCTTGGCTCACAGAGCTCTGCATGAACTCCACCGCCACCGGCTTCGTAAGAATTGACGAGAGTCCCAAGTGTGACCCGAGTAAAACGTATACTTCGTACGCGGCTTGGCCTGGGCAAACCGGGCGGACGGGTTCTGGGTACGCTAGAACTACCGGCGCGCCGGCAAGCCCAAAAAAGAAGCCCACACAGCGATTATGGTTAATAACACATTGTTCCTAGCTCAGGAGCTTGGAAGACCCAGTCAATCTTTCTAGACCAGACTCGCTCACCGACCCTGTCGTGACCCTCTCATATCAACCCGCAAACACCTCGACCTCTTCCGCCGTCCGACTTAAGTCTAGACGCCGCCTGAGCACGACCCCGTCCAACCTCTCCGTGCCATCTCACCTCCATCATCGACCCATCTCTTCCCGTTTCTCGTCTCATTCACTATCATCCACATCAAATCATGGCCACTACCACTACCACTACAAGCCTCAACCCGGCTACTAGGCCTAGCGTTGCCTCTATCCTTCCTCCTCTCTTCCTGGGCACCGCGACCTTCAACACACAACATGTCAAGGACCCTCTTCAGATGCCCTACAGACAAATCGTCTCAAGGGCATTGGAGCTTGGTGTGAACGGTTTCGACACATCACCATACTACGGCCCTTCAGAAGTCCTGCTGGGTGACGCGCTGGCCGCTCACACCGCAGCCACCAATATCCCCAGAGAATCATATGTCCTCGTCACCAAGGCTGGCCGCATTGCTGGCAACGAGTTCGATTACTCGCCTGCATATGTGCGCTACTCGGTCCTTCGTTCTCTCAACCGCCTCAACACCAGCTACCTCGATCTCGTCTACATGCACGATGTCGAATTCGTTTCCCCTTCAGAAGTCCTCGCCGCTGTTCAGACATTAAGACAGCTCCGCGATGAGGGCAAGATCCGTTTCGTCGGAATCAGCGGTTTCCCAGTCCACGTCCTCTGCAGTCTGGCTGAGATGATCTTCGCCGAGACCGGCGAGCCTCTGGATGCCATTCTCAGCTACGGCCACTTCACCATCCAAAACCCCACTCTTGGTTACGATGAAGTCGTCGCCGGCGCCGACCACACCAACGACCAGAGCCCTCTGAGAAGATTCCGCAACGCCGGCGTGCAAGTCGTTCTCAACGCAAGCATGCTCGGCATGGGTCTGCTCACGCACACCGGCATCCCCACCAACTCAGAGCAATCAGAGGGCAAGGCCGGTGTCATTGCGAAATGGCACCCCGCCCCGGACGATTTGCGCACAGCCTGCAAAAAGCTCTCGACGTTTGCCAATGAGGCCGGGGAGCGGTTGGAGACGATCGCTCTTCATTGGTCGATGGAGGAGTACGCCCGCGTTGGCGCCTTGGCTGGTCTTGGCGTCCAGCTCCCTGGCCAGGGGGATCTGCGCGTGGGTGGCAGTGTCATGGGTGTGACCAACGTTTCTGAGCTTGAGCAAACAGTCGATGCCTGGAAGAAAGTGCTCGAGGGAATGGGAGCCAGCACCGAGACTGGCTCGGCGGATAAGTATGAGAAGTTGAAGACGTTGGTGGAGCAGAAGATGTGGCCTGCGCTGGGTGAGTGGAAGGGATACAGCTGGGCCAGCCCTGATGAGGGCTTCCAGAACGAGAGGAGTTTGGAGAAGATGGGCACGATACCCGCGGAGGATGAGCTCATGAAGATTGTCACTAGGATTTCCAGCAACTTGTAAGCGGTGCGTTTTATGAAGCTTCTACGAATTGAACATTACTTTTCAGCGTCTGGTCTTGGACACGCCCTTCAATCATGTGATAAAACAGGCAATCGTGTTACTTCGTAATCATTGGTCAACAATTCTGCGCGTAGATCTGATCTTGGTGCATGCAATAGCAAGACGATTGGCTGGATGGATGCATGTGGCTGCAGCGCAGCCTGATCAGGCCGTATTTGCATCAGGCAGACTCGCGGGCTGCCCGACGGTCAGCTTTGCACACTTTCAATCTCACAAAACCCCTCATTTGAAGCCCATATACCTCTTGAGTGTTTCAAACATGCTCACTGGCAGCCGCTGACATACTGTCTTTTCATGGCAAGTCTCGATGGCGGAAGCAATCGGCCTTGTAGCAAGCATTTTTGCTACTGTCCAGATCGCAGACCGGGTCATATCCCTATGTAAACGCTACATAGAAAGCATCCAAGACGCACCAAGCGATCTACGGACTATCCTCATAGAGACGTCATCGGTGAAGGCTATTTTGGAGAACGTCAAGTTCCTCGTCGAATGCGACAACGGGCAATCAGAAATCTTCAGCAGTTTGAATGGTCCATCTGGCCCCATCGAAGGTTGTCATGAGGCTATGAAAAGCCTCGAAGGTCTGTTCCGTACAGATACTTGTGCACTACAGGGTCTCAGCAGGTCCAGAAAGCTGAAGAGCCACGCACTTGCCACACTTGCAACTCTAGCATGGCCGTTGAAAGAGAGTAAAGCCAGGAAGCTGCTGCAAGATGTCGCAACGTACAAGAACACCATAACGTTGGCATTGAGCGCCAACACTGCGTAAGTGTGTCAACAAACAGACTCAAAAGGTGAAGACTGACTAACCTGAGACTCAAGGCACCGTATACATGACGTGGCTCAGAGAACAAGCCAGATTCAAGAGGTTATGTCAGAATCTGAGCGACGAGAACTGTTCAAATGGCTCGAAGACATTGATCCATCTTCCCTACATCACCGAGCACAACAAAACCATGAACCCGGTACATGTGATTGGGCAACACGTCTCCCCGTATGGCCTGAATTTCTGAGCGGCAAAGAGCACTGCATTTGGATCCACGGCATTCCAGGTGCCGGAAAAACGGTTCTCGCATCACAGCTGATTGATAAAATTGAACAGCACTGCAAAGCATCAGGTTCTGAAAGACTGATGAGTACTTGGTATTACTGTTACTTTGCCCATAATCAAGACGAATCTGCTTCTCTCTTGAAGTGGATTCTGAGTCGTCTTTGCCGCAGAACGAATGAGATCTCAGACCATCTTTGGAAACTTTTCAAGCATGGAGGGTCGCCGTCCCTAAAAGATTTTCTTATTGCTATCGAGCGGGCGCTTGAGCACTTTGACGAAGTCTACATCACAGTCGACGCTATTGACGAAAGCAATCCTCGCGAAGACTTGCTCAAAGTCATACGACAATTAGCAACCGAAAAGAGATTCAACAAGATTCGGTTGTTACTGACAAGTCGGGAGTATTTCGACATTGAGACAGTTATGACCGAGTTTTCCACCTCAATATCCATGGATAATGAGTTTCTAGACGCCGATATCCGTCTGTATACGGAGTCACGCCTTAAGACAGAAAAGCGCATCAAAAGCTGGCCAGAAGAGCTTCAACAAAAGACTGTGGAGGCCTTATCACATGGTGCACACGGAATGTAAGTTGTTCCTTTACGCCCTCTGGTATTAATCTGGATGCTAATGGACAAAAGGTTTCGATGGGTTGTTTGCCAAATCGATGCGCTGCGGCGTATTAGGAGAAGAGAAGCCATCAGAGAAGCTTTGTCCAGAATGCCCAAGACTCTAGATGAGGCTTACGACAGAATATTTGAGCAGATTGAAGACGAAGATCTTCCTTGCGTCAACTCTGCCATGAAGTGGCTGTGTTTTGAGGCCAAGTTGCATACTGGCGTAGAGGCACGTGTCGATATGCAAATGCTCGCTCAAGCCGTTGACGAAGACATCTTCGGAGATAATCTTGAGGAGAAACTCTCCCAAGACACAGAAAGTCTCCGTGAAATTTGCGGATGTCTTGTCACAGTCACACCAACGACTTTGGAGAATGGACAACAGAGATTCTACGTGTCCTTTGCGCACTACACTGTTTTGGAGTACTTGGCCTCCAACAAGAGAAACCATCCCGACCCATTCTTCACGTTGGAAAAGGAAGAACTTGTCCTTGACAAAGCCGAACGGATATTTGCGAGAGCCCTCTGCCTTAGTGACGATGAATTCGAAGAGTACAAGGTTGTGACGTGGAGTGAAGGGGGGCACGCCATCTTTACCCTTCCTAACTTTGGAAGCTATTGCGCCTATACCTCCATTGACATGATCATTTTCTTCGACGCCGTAATGTCGGAGCACAACGACCTTTTCTATCGAGTACTTGATGTACTAGATGCAGAGAAGGATTATTTCTTTCCCCTTTTCTCCATCTGGAGTAACAGGGCCAAGACCTTGGTAAATATTGGTGGAGGGCGGATTGAAAGCTTCGACTTTGTCGAAAATATCGAATGGGAGACTGTGCCAGACCTGGAAACCAGCGTTCTGGTAAGGCTTCTCATTTTTGGATGTTTCCGTTTGGCCAAGGCGCTGCTAGAAAGAATGGAGCCATTGAATCCTTTCCAGCTTTATCTTGATTTCAGATACAACCTCTGCTACTACAAAGGAGCAGGTCTGGCTCTGGAACGAGATTGGCGTTTTCAAGGAGCTCTTACCGACTGTTTCGCAGCCTTGTTTCCTGCTACATCCATGGGCTCATCCCAGGGCGATGGTATCAATGTGTTTAAATTCCTCATTGAGGCCGGCGCCGAGGATTTTGATCCCCAGGGGGCTCTTATCCCTTTTGGTGCTTTGCATGACCACACTAACCATTGCAGCGATTGGTGTGTATTAGAGAAGCTCTTACGTCTTGGGGCAGATCCTAATGCGGACGGATGCTATATTACCCCATTGCAAATCGCCGTGGCAAGTTTCGATATCGAGGGCGTCCTGGCTCTTCTGCAAGCAGGGGCAAATCCTAATGCGGAGGGATGCGTTGCTGCGTCGGCATGGCCAGAAGATACACTCCTGTGCCAGTTCAACAGTCTTCACGGATGGGGACCTCTAGAAATTTCTGAACAGATTCGTGACCCTGAGATGTTCCAGGGCCTACGTAGCTGGTCAATACACGAACAGGATTACAAGAGGGAGGGGGAGACCATTCAATCATCGATTGAAGCCATATTGCTTGAGTATGGCGCGGGAAATTGATTTTGTTTTGCTTCCCGATAACTATCTTGCTTTTGGCTACTGTCTGCGTAAGCTATAGTGGCTGGGGTGCTATACACGCAAACTTACATTCAAGCCGCGAAGTCGCGGATGTGATTTCTTATCTACTGCATCGCAAAAGTTGTTAAGCTGAGGGTCTTTCTTGTTCACACTTGTCATTGTAATTACGCAAAATTTAAGTCAGGAGCGAGAGAGCATGGTGGGTTCGGTTTGGTGATCGGGCACCACTGTTTGACCTTCAGAAATGCTCGTCTAATGCGGCTATTGGTGAGACACGGAACAGGGAGTTCCGTGGCACGAGGATGTACATCTTCATCCGCCTCAAGTATCATTGTCCTCTCAGTAAACGCCGGGTAGAATCCTCCACTTGACAGTCTTCTTGTACTTTTCCCAATCCTCTCCGTACTTCTCAGAGCAAGCCACGTCATCGCGCCCCTCACGATGAATGAGAAGGATTGCAAAATAAAGGACATAAAAGTACGTGAAGATCATACCCCACCCACGAGCCGCACCTTGAACAACCTCGCGTCCGTCAAGCATAGTGATCGCACCAGAAACCGTGCTGCCAGCGGGAAGAATGATATATCCAGCAATAGCGGTAGGCGCGCTGAACGGCGAGGCTTGAAGCCAGTCACCAAAGTAGTTGATGTGACGCGACATACCCCACCAGCCTCCAGTGAGCAGCTTCGTGCCACGCTTGGTCTGGATGAAGGGCATGCCCTTGACGCTAGGGTGGTCAGGCTGCGTGCGGAAGAGCTTCTTCTGGGTGTTGGAGGAGCGGAAGATGTACAAGCCAGTGGCGAACACGGCAAAGACGGACGCGATACCAGTCCAGCCCAGGTGGACAGGGTAGATGGAAAGGTAACGGGTTTGAGTGGAGTAGAGGAATGGAACCCAGGCAATGTCGCCGAAAGACAACATGAAGCCCATGCCGTCAGTGATAATGTCCATCATGGTAAGGACGCCAGCCTCGTAGTACTGGCCCTCAAGAACGTAGTAAGCCTGCACAGCGGTCGTGAAGATGATGCTGTCGGACAGGTATCCATAGTTGCGGTACTGCTTAGCGCAGAAGGCAAGGTTGAGGATGATCCAGCCGGTCAGACCAGGGCGGAACTCGAACCAGGTCTTGATGTCGATCTCGCCGAACAGGGGCAGGGTGACGCGGGGGTTCAGCTCACGACCGATGTAGAAGTCGTAGATGAGGCTACCGGTGTTGCCGCCGACGGCGAGCTCACGGTTCTCGGCGTTGCCGGGCTTCACGCTGAAGCTGCAAACATAGCAGTACACAGAGAGAAGGTAGCCAATGATGATGTTGGCAGTCAGGAGTTGAAGGTAGTTGTCCGAGATGTAAGTCCAGACAACGAAGTCGGCACCCTTCAAGTAAGTTCCGACAGCAAGAGCTGCGAGCTGCAAGACAGTGGCGCTGAAAGCTGAATGCAAAGTTAGTATTTGACCGTCTGACACGGAGCATGGAAGCCTTACCATTGAAGCGGTACTTCAGAGGACGGCCAGACTCTCTCAACTTGGTGCCGAGAACCTCCTGGGCGGGAAGAACAACGTGAAGGACCAAGCTCAGGAAGTAGTAGGCCAAGGTCCAGCCGAAGACTTCCCAGCTGCAGAATCCCCAGATGCCATCGGCAGGCCAGGGAATTTCAGCCTTCAGCTTCTCTAAGCTCAGCGTGCGAGGGCTGAGGGTCGAAGGAGCAGGACATCCAGACTTGTCATTGCAGACAAAGAAGAACGTCCACAGGAGAACGGGGAGTCCGAAGACAATGCCGAAGGCTCCCGGACTAAGGAAGAATGGCGTTAGCGGTGAGAACGCGTCGTGTGGGTGGACGCGACTTACGGGCCTCCAAACTCGTACTTGTGCTTCTTGACAGCCATGTTTCGATCCCAAGTCTCGTCGATTGAGACGAAAGAACGACTTTGACACTTTTTCAAATAAGTGCTTGTCGAAACAACCGTATATCAACTCGGCGCGATCGGTTGAGAACGCGACAGAGCTACCTCACGGGTCCGGGTTGACCCCTTAATCCGTTGGGGCAGGCAGGAAGATTTTGCGGGATTGGCCCGTGCATCCTGCCAATTTCCCGTTGCTGGGTCGCTAAACGACAGCTGAGTGGCTCGCGGCGCCCGGCGGAAGCGGTTCCTCGGTGCCGGCCCCGCTCTTCCGTCGTATTCGGGTTGCTGCCGCCCCGTTCCTCGATCACGCGGTCCGGAAGCTGCTGGCCCGGCGCAGTGGTCGCCAAAAGTACCAATTCAAGTCATCAAATATGCACGCCGAGGATTTACCAAGACTTAAGGATTCAACTCATCGTGAGCACTTGATGGCGATTTCTTTCACTGTCATTGGCCGTAGGCTGCAGCTAATTGATGCGTTCTGGGACATGCTCGCGGGTGCGGAAGGCATCGGATCAAGTTTGACCATCAGATCATCAACACATCTTCTTCATTACTCATCAAGCTCTTCACTCATTTTGACTATTGTACACTGTCGTCGTCAATTGATTGCAAAACAACGCCCAAGCTCATTCTCTCTAGTACACCTTCTTCTCGTCGTGGTGAGAGCACATCTTGCCATGGCTGGATTTCTCAGCCATCAATTTCCAGCGACGAAACTGCTGGAGAACACCGGCGCGTCCGCGAAGGACAGGCGTAGTACTAGCACGAGGCGGGACACCCTCAAGAGAAAGGGCGAGGGTGGCCATCGCGCGCCCGGCCGCCTTTGTGTTCACGGTGATAGCGTCCCAGTTGATATTGTCCAGAGTATCGCAAGCCAGATGGTAGCAAGGATCGTTCTCACCCTCTCCCGTAAAAATGGAGGCCGTTGGAATTCCTAGGGGGTTAATGAAGCCCGCGTAATCCGAACGGTCGTCGAACTCAGACCACGTCACAGTTTTGCCGTTGGCCTCCAGGTAGTCTGCCAGAAGCTGGGGACCGATGCCGCTGTTGTTGTAGCTTGACAGCTCGTAGATCGGATTCGGAGAAGCGATCATATCATAGTTGAAATAGTACTTGATCTTGTCCGCATCCTCCGAGCTGAGGTTCTCGGTGTAGTAGTAGGAGCCGACCAAGCCGGCCTCTTCAGCGGCCCACCAAGCAAAACGGATCTTGTTGGGGAAACCGGTGTACTTTTTGACAGATCCCATCAGCTGGAGCAGGGCAGCAGTGCCGCTTCCATCATCATTAATACCAGGGCCCTCAAGAACACTATCAAGATGGGCGCCAAGCATGATAACGCTGTTCGGGTCACCTTCCTTGGTCTCTGAAATGACGTTCCAAGTCTCACGCTCCTCGAAGATGGAGTCTACGAGGAGGGTAACGACGACCTCCTCGCCAGCAGCGAGGGATGCCGACCAAGCCTCACCAGTCTCCTCGGTTATGATTCCGAGAGGGACGAGGAGGCCAATGTTCTCCGCACCAAGAGTCGGCTTGACGATGTCATCGCCAGGGACGTTGTTGTACAAGATCACGCCCAGAGCGCCCGCCGCCTTCGCGTTCTTGATCTTGTCGGAAATGGCACACACGCCGCGCTTGATGAGAGCAAGCTTGCCGGTGGCGTCAATGCCCTCAAACGCCTCGGGGAGACATCCGGAGCCGTTCTCGTCGTCGACTGGAGTGTCGATGAGAGGGGCAGTGATGCCGTCTGGAAGAGGGGTCGCGGTGTTGTACTCGGCGCTGATGACGATGACGTCCGCACCGTCGGGGCCGGTCACGACAATGGCGTTCGTCTGCTCGAAAGTGTGGTTGAAAGGCTGCAGCCAGGTGTCCATCTCCTTGGCGAAGCGGGTTTGGGCGCGCTCCAGGACGAAGTCAACCGAGGCCTTGTAACCCGGGGTTCCGAAGGCGCGGGTGCCGCCATTATCGCGACCGATCTTGTTCAAGTTCCAGAGGACGCGCTCCAATCTGACATGCGTCGCGTTGTTAGCTAAATGAGCTTTCACTTCTAGCAGTATGTGGAAACACTCACTCCTCGGTCTTGACGTCGGCCTCGACCTTGTCGGCCGTAAGAGGGTCGGTGGCCAGGCAGCTGGAAGCCAGCGCCAGAGCGGCGGCGGAGAGGTAAGTGGTCTTCATCGTGACAGACGACTTGGCGAGCTCAGCGAAACCGGAGAAGAGACCGCGAGAAGAGCTGGGCCGGTTGCGCTCTCATAAACACTACGCGATCTCTGGGGAAATGTTTCCTTTTTATACTGATCGCCCGCCGAGCCCATCTCGCATGCTGCGTTTCTTTTGTCATCTCAAAAGTGCCATGCTTTCTCACTCTGAATGCGACGCCGAACGGCGAACAGCGGAAGCTCATCGCAAGCTCGAGCTCAGGTTAAGCTTGGCATGCAGCATAAGTTCACAAAACCCCTGGCCGAGAGCATGGGTTGAGAGCGGGGAACCGTAAGACATCGCGAATCAGAGGACTCAATCACTGATAAGCATATGCCCAGAAGTCCTGCCGCAAGGTCACCTCATGCACCGACGGGGCCAGTTTCCACATCAAGTCGAGGAGACGTGAGGGGAAAAGGCAGGAACAGACCGCACTTTGGCTGTGGGTTTGTTTGTCTGGTCGCGGCGAAAGCGCGGCTCGCAACATCTTGGCTCAAATATTCGCACGCCACGATGTAACCTCAAAGGGCAGGTGCCAAGACATTTCATATCGCGGGGCGATGTGTTTGGACCAACAACTGTGCGGCGTAGCATCAATTTGCAAAGGACCTGCCCATCTGGCTCGTCTGCCGTGCTGGGGTGCCTCGTGAAGTCATGCTTCCATTGGCGTTTCCAGCCGTTGTTCTTACAGCGTCCATTTTTACAACAGCCGCATCTAGTCTTGGCTGCCGACTTCCAGAATGATGCAGGAGGGACTGATGGCTGACAAACGGCAGTATGCAATAGATGCATGTCAGGCCTGGCTATGCGCCAAGATGACACATTTAGTAACGATCCAGCTTGTCGGATGCCCTCATTTGCCTTGATTCTACGAGTAGCGAGGTTCATGTGCATATTTGCGTCAACAGACCACCGGCATACGTGTTGTGTGATTGTGCAGCACCCGCGCGAAATGAAACAGATCAGGGTTACAATTATGTGTTATTTGATGGTGGTCCACGGTTTAACAACATCCACGCAGTCTCTGGACCATGAACTTCCAAAAAGAACACACGCGATGTGTTAACCTCTTGTCAAGCTATTTGTCTGCATTAAGATCTGTCAATCGTGTGCTTAAGATAGATTAAAAAGGCTTCTCTGGGCCTGGGAACTTGCTGTTGGGTAACAGCCAAGATCACTAATTCTTTGGTCACGTTAGTAACATGACAGAGAAGAGAGAAAGTAAGCGAGGTACGACGAGACACGACATCAGAAAGTCATCGACCTAGGCTTGTCTAAATGTCTCTTCTTCGTTTCACATGACGGTTTATGCCAGCGTGCTCACCTTCGTCATTTCACGAGAGCTCTAAAATAGTCTGTGAACACGGACATTGACGCAGTCACTGCACTGTTTTCATTTATCGAGATATCCAAGGCCCAATTCGATTCAGCGACGCGAATCATATCACGTCTTGCAGCTTGATCGGATAGCTGCTGGACTGCGTGACAATGTCTCAATCTTATATTGATCAGTTATGTCAATTTCTGACTTTGAAGTTCCAACTGCCCTCCTGCAGAAATTCCGAAGATTTGCTCATGATTTGATTGTTGCCGCGTTATGCGCACAAGCCTTTCCCTGGGATTTGCTCTTACTTCTTCAGGCAACCGAGTGCCTTGGGTCCTCGAATGTCACGAATACAAGTTGATTGGCTCTAAGCATGCTGACATGAACAGTTCGCCACCAAGGAGGCGGCAACACAAGATAGTTATTGAAAGATTGCAAGACTTTGGTGAATCAAACGGGGAGGCTTCAGTATCTGATGAAAGTTGACAGATGATGTCCGCTGATCTTATATCCACATCCCCCAAGGCAACGACATACCTTTAAAACTTGATGGATGTTGTCACACTTTCAACTAATCACGCCATCATTTGTCCCAAAGTCCCCAACGCGCAGACGTGGTGGCCTGGACTCTAGAGTACCCTGTTAGAGCGGTCGTTTTTGCCGGGAATAGTCAAGTTTGATTCAGGCAACAACGTCAAGGAGCGACCACTGAATACCGACGAACTAGCACGTGGTTTATCAAGTATTCGACAAGATTAAGAGCTTATCCTTGGTTTCTGAATCTGTGTCACATTGGACTTTCTTTGAAACTTTCCATGAAAATTCAAGCTTGGTGTGAATTCATGAGTTCTCCAGAAGTCTAATGGTGCTTCTCGCGCCATTCGAATTAATCCCGAGACTACCTACCTACGAGACGTAATGTGGGGGCGGTGCGAATCAATCGACAGAATTCTTCTGCCTGTCTCAACCGAGGTGGTATCCCCTGGAAGGCAAGGGCGCCGATGATGATCGGCACTTATATTCCACCTTTATGACATAGACTCTGCCAGCCGTGAGAACCAAAATCCAGACACCGCTGCACAGTACGCGCGGCAGTATCACATCGCTCGTATCGTTCGTCTGAAGTCAAAAACTGGTACATTCCAAGAGACCACAAAATCAACCGACTGAAGATATGGCATGATGTTCGTCGAGTGGACCACGTTCAATGGATACCCGACCGCTGTGTTGTTGGTCGTCTGAACAGCAGCCGACTCCACCGACATGGCCAGGTCCAGAATTTCATACCAAAGGTCCAAATAAGGTGGACAAGCAGCATCTACAGTTCCACGATACTTCGTTGTCTGTTCAGGCAACAAGTTCTGGCCCTTCTGGCATTTGCATCCTTTGCAAATCAAATCGCGAGCGCTCGTTCGACTCACCGCGTGCTTGGTACTTTTGTTAACGAATGATAGCAAAAGTCCAAATTCTATGGATGCGTAGTCTTGACTGGCGAGAATGGCAGTCTCTTTGGCTGGCCAGGTTAGGTAGATGCTTGGCTGATAGCTACATCTGAAGACTTATAAGTAGACACGGGAACGGACTTGCTCATCTGGTTCTCACTCATCAACAAACCACACTCTCAACCAATTCACCATCAATTCTTCGCAATATTCATTTGAATCAAATCAAACCACTTCGTCAACAATCCTCCCAAAGCGAAAATGCGTTTCACTGCTGTCATCGTCGCCACCCTCGCCACCATGGCCATGGCCTCGCCGGTCGCCGACCTCGACGAGAGAGCTCCGGTCAATGTTCTCTGCTCCTGCGCCGCTACCCAGTCTTGCGGCTGCAACTCCGTGGTTGCGGGCTCGTGGTGTGTTTGCAACGGCGCCACCAAGGGTACTTGGAACGCCGCTCCTTGCCAGGACAGCACCTCCTGCGGATGCTCCGGCTTGGGCAAGTGGGGTGTCTGCGAGGTAAGTCAAATTCAGAGCACACCTCATGCTAAGAATTGTCGCTGACTCAGAAAACAGAAGGTCTAAACTACGACCTATAGGTCTAGGCCAGGTAAAGCCTTATCAGGTTCACCGGCAGTGTTGGGCCAAGGAACTGTCAACGAATCTTCCTTACCAGCAAACGTGCATCCTTGATGATAACGAACCAGTCATAGGGCATTTGCCTGATTGGTTTTCTCTTCTTCATGCTGAGGTATCAGCAATGTATCTAGTTTATACGATTATGGACGGAGCTACATAGGCTGCTGACATACAAGTACACTTTTGAAAATCCTCCCGTGTCAGTTTTGAACTGTGAAAACCAGCATACTATATCCTCTTGTGATTATTATGCTGTGAACTATGGTGCTGTGAAGTTTAGTGTTGCCTTTGCCGGAAAGTATCAATACTTCGTGCCATATCCGTCGTTTCGGCCAGAATCATCTCAGTCGGATTAAACAAACGCCTATCCAGTACGGACTGCTGATAAATATTACACAACATCATTCACTAGCACAACCACTTTGAAGCTTGAACTGCTTAATGAGATGATATACATAAACGTAATTTTAAGAATAGTCTATAAATACGTAAGGAATTCATCTCATTACATTACTCCACATTGTGATATGTTGGAAATGCACTGATATAATCGCTTTGAAAATGGGTTATGCCAATGATAGAACGTTTCGATTTGCTGCCGGGATGATATATTACTACAGAGGTCCAGGGCGAGAGAGGTAACCAGGTCACTTCGAACGGCTAAGCCCCACGATAGCGCCAACATAGAGATGATCGAATGCCGGCTGAATTGCCCATTTTTGATGTAGTTATAGCGACGCTTATGAATCTAAAATCCCGTAAGCAGGTCAGGGTTACACTGTCAATCAACTCCTACAGTTGTCAGATCAACTTCGGCGAATTCGTGTTCCCTCGTGCAACCTCAGGTTCGAATGGAGAATCATTCACGTACTAGCGAGGGAGTCCTGCAGTCAGCTTACCTTTCCAAGGTTGGATAAGAAATCGGGTCGATTGATTGAGTGCCGTTTCGATCAAAGTTGCCTGACGAAGATGGGGCATGCAAGTCTTCAGAGTACGCAGCAGCGTCGGATCCTTGTTAGTGCTAGGGCTAAACCGCATCCTCCTGTTCAGAGAAAACTAGTCTTGCTAGTTTAAGTCGTGATACTACGCTGAATGCATTGCGCGATGGTTACACGATTGGTGATCAGTGGGACGAATTACAAATAGGCTATTGCGATTTGTTCAGTCGGATTCGTAGGCCAGGGACCGCAGTGAGGGGTCCCGTGGCAGGGGTTCGACGACCAGGGGGCTCCTCCAGCACCGGTATTTAAGACAGAATGGCACAGCGAACGGAATCGATATCGAATTTTCGATCGGGTTTCCTCTTCTCGTCGTCATTCGTAGCGATGGGCACTTTAATTCTTCAACTTGGCCTCGGCGCGGCCTTTATAGCGGTGTACGTGATCAACAAATTTTTGGGTGCATCCAAAAATGCAGGCCGGCCTCCTTTGCCGCCCGGTCCCAGGGGCCTCCCGGTAGTGGGAAATGTCAAAGACTTGCCGAAGCCTGGAGATTTCGAAGCTCATCACTGGATTAAGCACAAAGATCGCTATGGTTGGTTCTCCTTTCTTGCGTCAGATCACGCCAATTAGACCGAAATCGTTGACTCAAATGCCAACGTAAGGTCCTCTCAGCTCAGTCACAGTACTGGGCCAGACCTTGGTTATTATCAACGACCTGCAGCTGGCCCTCGAGCTGCTGGAGAAACGATCCGTGAAGTATTCTTCAAGACCAAGACAAATCTTTGCCGGCGAAATGTGCGTTTCCAGTTCCTGTCAATGGCTGCTTGCAGGCTGCGGCATCTGTACTTTCTTACTGTTGCTCACAAAAGACACAGGATTGGCTGGGAGAATACGCTCGCAATGCAGGACCATAATGACAGATTTCGCAACTACCGCAAGAACATTAGTCGCATCATTGGCTCAAAGACGGCAGCGGCACAATACGATGCGCTCCAGGAAGCAGAAGTCGGTCATTTTTTGCTACATGTTCTTGATCATCCCGAAAAGCTCAGAGATCACATCAGACGGTAAGATTCATCTGAATGAGCCGAGAGGAAAATCAACATTGCAATAAGTTACTAACATGTCTTTGATATCAATAGGGAGGCTGGCTCGGTTATTCTTAGAGTTGCGTACGGGTATAACCCGGAACCATTCAAGGACGACTATCTCATTGATTTGGCCGGAGAAGCCATGGACCAGTTCGCCCAAGCTGCTGTTCCTGGAGCCTTCTTGGTAGACATCTTCCCTCTCTGTAAGTTCCATGAAAGCTCATTAAGATCTACATCTAATCCATAGAAGTACGTCATGTTCCAGACTGGTTCCCGGGGGCCAAATTCAAGCAAACTGCAAAGGAGTGGCATTCCACGCTGAGAGGCGTAGCAGAGAAGCCTTACGCCTTTGTCAAGCATCAAATGGCTCAAGGAAAGGATACATCGTCTTTCGTCTCACATCTTATTAGAGACGGTGGCCTAACACCTGAGGAGGATTTCGTCACGAAGTGGTCAGCCGCGTCCTTGTACACGGGCGGAGCCGACACGGTACGATGAATCATCTTACCTCCTCGATTAACACGAGTCCGATCGTTGTACTAACAGATATTAGACCGTCTCTTCGATTGATTGCTTCTTCCTGGCCATGACTCTCTTCCCCGGACCTCAACAAAAAGCACAGGAAGAGATTGACAGAGTCATCGGCGCAAGCCGTCTTCCCCTTGCTTCTGACCGACCGAATCTGCCCTACACAGACGCTCTTGTGAAGGAACTCCTTCGCTGGCAACCCATTGCTCCCATGGGTCTACCCCATGCAAGTTCTGATGACGATGTAGTCGAGGGATACTTCATTTCGAAGGATGCACTGCTTCTGCCGAATATTTGGTAGGTGCACCTGCATGTTATGACTTGATTTGGTGGGCGAAACTGACTTGAATGGAGGCACTTCACTCATGATCCGGAGGTGTGGGACCAACCAGATGAGTTTAGACCCGAACGCTTTCTTTCTGGCCAAGACCAGGAATCCGCACTTGATCCTCACAAAATTGTCTTCGGCTTCGGTCGGCGGATTTGCCCCGGACGCATCCTTGCTGATAATGCACTATTCATCAATGTTGCTCAATCTCTTGCGGTCTTTCACATCAGAAAACCCGTCGTTGATGGAAAGGAAGTTGATCCTACGGTCAAAATGACGCCGGGAATCGTGAGCCATCCGGAGCCCTTTGATACGTCTATTAAGCCTAGGTCTGCGCATCACGAGAAGCTGATCCGTTCGCTGGAGCAAACATACCCATGGGAGGAAAGTGATGGAAAGATCTTGGAAAGCATGGAGCTTTAGCTATCTAGATAATCCGCTCAGAATGACAGCCTTGTAACATGTTCCCACTTCTTATCTGAAGCCGTCAGCGCCTCAGCGGCTGCTGCGGCATGTTGAATCGTGTCTGGCCCCAGTAGCACACGTAACGGCGGCTGTTCAACTTCAGCAATGTGCATGATAGCCCTGGCAATGGATGACGGTTCAGACCAGTCGTCGAAAGCTCGTTCCCTTGCTTCTTTCATGACTCCGACCGTCTTCTCATAGGCCTCGCTGATATGCCCATGGCCCATCGACGAGCCCGCCCAATCTGTCTTGATTCCACCTGGCTCAAGGACTGTGACTTTGATACCGAGTGGTGCAACCTCGTTCGATAAGACTGTCGAGAATCCTCCAACAGCCCATTTGGCGCTCTGGTAAGCTCCAAGCCCAGGTGATCCAAGTCTCCCCCCTACTGAAGATACTTGGAGGATGTGACCGAAACCTTGCTCCCGCAAGAGTGGTAGCACAGCTTTGGTGACATTGACAACTCCAAAGAAGTTCGTCTCTATCTGCGCTCGGAATGATTCTAGGGTCATGTCTTCGATAGAAGCGCAGTCCGCGTAACCAGCATTATTAACAACAACGTCGATTCGGCCAAATTTGTCGTAAGCTTGCTGTACAACCTCGAGAGCATTGCTTGAATTTGTGACATCCAAGCCTGCCAGCAAAACATGTGCTTTTTCGTACGTTTTCTCGAAATGACTGAGTTGTTGCGGATCTCTTGCAGTCGCGACAACTGAGTCGCCATTTTCGAGTATGGCCTCGACAAGAGAATGGCCCAACCCGCGAGAAGCTCCAGTAACGAACCAGACCTTCATGTTGAGGACTTTCGTAAAATGAGTTTTTGTATGTAGAGAAGAGTTTGAGTGTGCTGCGGCCTTGCCATCATCCATTTCTTACGCTGCCAGCCTCCATGATCACTTATATATGTAAAAGAGCTGTTTCCGTTAATTCCGATACAAAGTCGTTGATCTCATTCTGTTGGAGTTTGGAAAAGCCTACTAGGTTTTGTGCAAGTGTCTTGGTAATCTACGCCTTGTTAAGTCCGTCTTTGTCCGGCATGCATGACCTAAACTCAGCGACGCCAGGCAGTTCGAAATGCTATTGGTCTGTTCTCGGACTTACCACAAGCTTACACTATGTTATCTCCTCTAGCCGCAGATGTACTGGTATCTGGCCAGGCTCAGTAGATAAAGTCGGCCATACGAGTGCATATCTGCCATTGAATTTTACGGTTCCGGCCGTAATAACTCCAGAGTGGCAAAGGCTATAGTCAGCGCTGTCCAAGCATACCGTGCTCGAGCAAAATCACCACCAACATGGACCTTGATGTCTTCTGCGAATAATCAAGACATGACTAAATCATAACAAATATGCGGTGAGAGGATTGGCGGCAATCTCAAGTGCTGCTAACTCTTAAGCCAACCGATTAGGTTTTCTCCAGGGTGGAGAGTTACTAGCTGAAAATTGGCAACCCCTTGCAATACGAATTGTTGCAGAATTCCACGAATGTGCTGTAAGACGGAGGCAGGTCCTGCGACATGACATGTTAAATGGCAGCGCTCTGAGCCCTTCAACTCAGCAGGGGTATCGTTCGATGCATTCTGCCCATCCAAGAGACTCGAAACCTATTATTCAAGTCTGAGCATATGTCTTATATCGTGCACTTGACTTTGATCAGCCTTTTCCAATTCCTGAAATAATAGCGAGGCGCTCCTGACTTATCAGTCCACATCTTTGATGCATAATTGTCCTCTTCTCCGACCTTTCCAGTCCTTCAAGATGGCTCATGCCAGCCTAAAGCACCCCGCATTCGGTACTTCTGGCACTTGCCTCACTGCAGCAGGCATGGTGACACCGCAGATCCCCCACAACCTTGCGAGTCCAGAACCACGGCACGCGGCATCCCACTGGAAGGCCTCCAAATCATGCCACGCTCCGCTCTGGCGTGGCATTTTTCTTATTCTCGTTGGCATCCTTTTAATCTAAATTTCTTGTGGCGTATCCAGTCACAGTCATGATGGAACCCAGCATGTCCCTTTCATTGGTGGAATCCCTGCTAGACTTGTGTTTCAACGAGGGGCAATTGCCAATGAGAACCGGGATAAGCCGCCCTCGATAGTATCGCAGCCGTGGCATTCGCATTTGTGGTTCCGATGTTTCCTTTTACGCTTAAACTGTGGTTCCCGTGATGGGATACCGTGGGCGGTAAGGGAGCAACGTAGCCGTGCCAAGCAAGTAGTTTGCCATCTCGGCGTCTGGGGTTGAGGGTGTTGAGTGTGATAGTAATTGTAACAATGGATCCTCTGGAAAGAAAAGGAATATGTGTTAGTGATAAATATCATCTGGTTCTCCGAGTCTGAGCAGGTTCTTTCTGTTAACTTGCTCAGCCGCCGTTGGTACTCCAGACGCCTGCCACACAAGCCGCGATCTTCAGTGGTCTGATCAACAGTATCCTCGCAGCATTGTCGTATTTTGGGAAGTCTTCAGCAAGATGAAGATCACTGCCTGCATTCTTGGTCTTGGTGCGGCTCTGGTGGCCGGCCACGGATACGTCGACAACGCGACCATCGGAGGAACATACTATCAGGTTTGCTTGTTCCCAACTTCATTCTCCATCACGTACGTGTACTGACAGTCACATAGTTCTATCAGGTAGACAGAACTTCTTTTCAGACTTGTTGATAATGTAGCTCACACAACTCCAGCCGTACTCTGACCCTTACTACTCCACTCCTGTAAGTCTCAGACTGTGCATGTCAAGGTCGAGTGACAGCAGCTGACTGAACCTGTGTAGCCTCAGAGAATTTCCCGCGCGATCCCAGGCAACGGACCTGTTGAGGACGTGACTTCGATCGACATCCAATGCAACGGATACACTGCTGGGGGAGTCAGTGGCTCTAAGCCCGCGCCTCTTCACGCCACTGCCGCCGCCGGCTCATCTGTCACCCTGAAATGGACGCTGTGGCCTGACTCTCATGTCGGCCCAGTCATCACCTACATGGCACGATGCCCCGATACTGGCTGCACTAGCTGGCTCCCGGGCACCTCGTAAGAAGTCATCAGTTGCAACAAGAGACGTAGTGCTAACGAGATGCCGCCAGCGCCGTGTGGTTCAAGGTCAAGGAGGGCGGTCGCGATGGAACGTCCAACACCTGGGCTGACGTGAGTTGAACCTGTTTAAGAAACAGTCCAAACGATGTTGAATCGCTTGGCTGATGATGATATTACACAGACTCCTCTCATGGTCGCCAACTCAGGCTATCAATACACCATCCCGTCCTGCCTGAAGCCCGGATACTACCTCGTTCGCCACGAGATCATCGCCCTGCACGCGGCTTACTCTTACCCCGGCGCCCAGTTCTACCCGGGATGCCACCAATTGCAGGTTACTGGCTCGGGAACCAAGACTCCTACCTCGCTGGTTGCCTTCCCGGGTGCATACAAGGCCACTGACCCTGGTATCACCTACGATGCCTACAAGGGTATGTCAACTAGATTCTGTGTCATGTTTACAACCATCTAACTCCTTTGCAGCACAGACTTACACCATTCCTGGTCCTGCTGTGTTCACTTGCTAGGCAAACTGACCTCCACTGATCGACGATGAAGCTGCCGTTCTGATGCTTGGGTGTGGAATTTTACCTTCTTGTAAATAGTCAATTCTGCTTAGTATATACTCACAACAACTCGTTGGATTGATTCCATCTTTGCTGGGTCCAGTGTGTTATGCATGTCAGAAGTCAATGTTCTTTTCCTAAGAAATTTCGTCCTCATCGACATCCGCCTGTTCTGCACCATTCACATATGGCGGACAAGACCAAATGCAATGCTAAGAAAACATGAAATGTGCTCAAACTTCAGTTCAATAGCATGATATTCCAAGAGGACAGATTATTGCGGCAAGTCTTGTGATGGTTGTGGGTGTTTGCTACCATGCAGCGAGTAGCTTTGTGGTCTCTGGGCGCTTGTGCGTTAGGTGCTCACCCTTCTTAAGACTCACTTTGCGGGAGGTCTTCAACGATCACATGATCTAAATCCTCGATAGTCTAGTGGTGAGGATATCGGCTTGTCATTCAACGATTCGCCGGGGACCGGGGTTCAATTCCCCGTCGAGGAGATTCTCTTTTGCTTTTTGATGCATTTTTGCGGTCCTCGACAAATAACACTTTTCCGTGATTGTGTGCCGGTTCCGCCTCGGGAAATTGTGTGCCAGGGCCCCTGTTTGAGATCAAGGATACCGCTGCAAATCCCTTGTCACTGCAGTGGATCTTGGGCGTCGTTTATCTCTGGCACGTCTTAGCCATGTGGGTGCACTGGTCTCTTAGCGAAACAAGTCACTAATGAATCAAGCAGGAGAACGACCGAGATTGCATCCAAAGGGAAATTTGGATTGACTATGTACTGCCCCGAAGACATCTCAATGGGCAGAAGAAAGAAGAATTATGTACACGAACAATTTGCGCAGCTTGACCGGGCGCAGATTCCCGGAACCAAAGCCCCAAATAATTACAAGAAAAGTTCCGGCTGAATACCGCAGCGACTGCCGGAGGCTAGCCCCGAATGTCGCCGACCCATCCCGCAGCCAGAGCATCCCGCATCAACGAGATCCGACTCTTGTGTGGCGGAGGAGGAGGAGGCATTTAGCAAGCAGCGCCGCTGCCGCTGGGGATGCCCTTGCACTTGGTGGAGGACTTGCCGCCGGTGACAGAGATGCCAGACCACTTCCAGCTGCTGCAAGAAGCGCAGAGGATGTAGACGTCAGTGCCAGAGGAGGCGACGGTGCCCTTGACGTTGCTGAGGGTGAGGCCAGTGATGGGGACGCCGGAGGTGGGGGTGCCGGTGGGAGAACCGTTCTCGTAGTCCTGCTCAATGACGATACCGTACTTGGCGATGTTGGAGAGGGTAATGCCGGAGTAAGTGACGCCAGAGACGGAGCCGGTGGCGCCGGAGACCGTCTTAATACGGACACCGTTGTCGGAGTTGACAATCTTGGAGTTGGAGATGGTGACGGTCTTGACGGTGTTGTCGGAACGGCCACCAACGGAGCCGATAGAGAGACCGTGGCCACCAGAGCAGGTACCGCCGGTGAAGGTGATGTTGGTACCGGAGTTGATAGCCAGGCAGTCGTCCTGGTTCTTGACGTTGGCGCCAGAGATGTAGACACCGGTGGAGGAGCCGACATCGAAAGCATCGGTGTTGTGGCCTCCAGCAGAGTCACCGGCGGAGTTGTCGAGGGTGATGTCGTAGACGCCCAGGTTGGTGGCGCTGTTGATGGAGAAAGCCTGGACGGGGGTGTTCAGGACGTTCAGGCCCTTGATGTTGGAGCTCTTGAGGCTGTGGGCGTAGAAGAACTTGGGCTTGGTCTTGCCGCCGTTGCTGCCCTTGCTGTCCCACCAGCGGGAGCCCTGGCAGTCAATGGAGTGGCCGGAGGCACCGTTGATCTGGATGTTGCTGCCGGAGAAGGAGATGAGGGGTCCCTCCCACTCCTTGTAGCCAAAGGTGGTCTTGCCCTGGAAGGTGACCTGTTTTGGAGTTGGTCAGTAAAAGTCCCGGGAAGCGGCTCCGTTGTGGCCGGTATTTTTCGGACGAAGTGTAAAACTTACGGTGGTGCCGGACTTGAGGCCGGTCATGTCGAGGGTAGTACCGGCGGGGACGGCAATGCCGTTCAGGACGATGCTGGTGCAGCTGGCCTTGCCCTTGATAGCGGAGGCGGCATCGGTGAAGGTGCAGCTGGCGCGGGCCTGAACCTCGGGAACAGGGGAGGCGATGGCGGCGGACGCCAGGGCGCCGAGAACGAGAAGCGAGGAAACCATTTTGGCAGAGTTGGTTGTTTTTGGTGGTTGTTTGTTAAGAGAGTGACTTGATACACAGTATCAGAATAGGCAAGTAGTAAGCAAAGAATGGATCAGGTTAATGAAAGAAGGATGAGCCAAGACTCGAGAATGGTAAGAATGTTAAGAGATCTGCGGGTTTGATGTCTTGGAAATCTCTTGGCACTCTGGGGGAGGACGGCCAGGCGGTTTATATCCAAGTCTCTGGATCTCTTGGTCTTCTTGGCAAGGCTGGAGAGGATGGGATGCCAAGGCCTGTCATCGGTCGGCTCATGTTTACCGCGACAAATTGTCTGCCCGCGAGCAGGGAAACACTGGTCGAGTCAGTTAGATGGACGATGGAGCTCGGAGCTGGGTGGATGGCCCATTCCAGAGCACCCAACGAGCCGGGGATGGCCCTTGCATCTGGTCGCTGCCACCCCCCACACCAGCTCCTGAAATTCATGGAATCACACTACTTCTTCACCAGCATCTGCCAGGCGGTGCCCATCTCCGCGATTGACATAAACGAGCAGTGGTGCTTTGCCGTAGGCTAAGGCCTGTTGAGCATGCCCCTCCGGGACTTGTCCCGATCGAAACTAGTGGTTCTGGCCTATCTAATCCTTACCTCGAGTTGCCGAGTTCCGTGCCGCCTTTCCAGCCTCAACCAGGCACCGCATCTAGAAGCGCTGAACCGCAACAAGAAAACAGGCACATTCAGGATAGGGGTCACGTTGGCCACCCAGACGCGTAACGGCCATCATATTACCCAGGGATGCCTTTCCCATCCGCAGCAGGCCCCATGGTTGGTGGAAGTTTATGGTCAGACAATTTGAGCTTTAAATTGATCAGAGTTCACCTGATATTAGTTGCCGCCGGTTAGCTGGGTGGTCAAGGCCCCCGAACACGTATAGCTCAGGGACTTATGAGAGTGGGGAGCGTAGCAGCAGCTGACGATTCTGGTTGGCAATAGAATTGACTTTCGGGAGAGCAAGGCAGGCACTTTCGATTCAGACGGACCACCCATGGCGAAAGTGTTTCCCGCCAATGATTGTCAAGGGAAACATGTCCAACCGGCCTGCAGCGTTTCTGAGTCGTTGCCCTCGTGAGATGCACTCTCTCTCTAACCCCGCGACGTGTTAGAGTTCATCGGCTTGCGTGCTAAGACTGCCGATCTGCCATAAACTTGACATCACGCATTCCCGCTTCCCGACACGCGCACCCTTCTGGTCAACTCTGTCTGACACAGCAGATTTTCTCCTCTCGAGGTCCTGACTGCCAAATTAGAGTTTCTGCACCTCGTGTTCACGCGGCTGAAACAGCATGGTCATCAACTCAGTACCGACCCTATTTCGCACCAGTCAAATTCTGTTTATCCAATTTCAACGTCGTATCATCCCATGTTTCTCCGTCCCTCGTTGTTCATGACTCCAAATGTTACACAAAATCTTTACAGATCTTAACTCGATTGTGCTGTAATGGTACGATTCTTCGGCTTTGTCCTTTTCCAACCGGACGAGGGGGCACGGCGAAAAACGTCCGTCCACTCGTGGGACCGTCTCCGTGGCAATGACTTCACCGGTGCGTGTCCCATCAACATGGAATCGGTATCCGTACATTAATATGGAAGACGGCACAGAACAAAAGATGGGCAAAGTGCGAATAAATGGGGCTCCCCGACGGGATCAAACTTGAAAACCACTATTCCCGAGTTAATGCGACGCACGCGTCGTCTCTTCCTTTAATGCGAGGGAATCCACCATAAAAATCGGGTCGCCGACAGACTCCTTTTCTTTTTTGTCCCTTTTGATACTCGTGAAATTCTGCCCATTCTGCAACAAACTCGCAGAAACCTGGAGATTACGGCACTTCGAAAATAGCATCGGAAATCGAAGAAGCCGCCGAAGAAGAATTAAGGGGTCTAGACCTCTGGACTGCTTGCGGAGCAAAATTGAAATGGGACCACGATGCCACACGTGCCCCATGGGTAGCTGGCGACTTGTGTCCGATCCAGCTAGACCAGCCCCGTTTCTCAATCTCTTAGCATCGCGGTTCCGTAGAGGACCCCCTGTTCAAGATCTCTATGCAGACTAGCTTTGCTAGAGGTCATGCACGTTCTAACTTGCGCAATCAACTGCCTGACATATTTCTCGGTCACCGCTCATGTCCGGAGAAAAGAAAGCCGTTGGCATTAGTCTAGAAGAAGTAAAGAAAGCGCAGTCAGCTCGGTCATTTCTCACATTCGCGGCGTAGTTGGTGTTGGCAAAGAAGGGGTGAAATGCCGCTGTGTTGGGGACTTGGCGATGCGGAGGACCGAGAAAAGAGCCGCAGGTCGTCGTCAGTTGCCCACTGCAAAAGGCTTGAATTGTGGTTCAGGTGGGCAGCAACTTGGCGATCTCAACATCAGCAAACGAGAACGAGAAATCATCGAGCAGGGGTCTCTTGGTCGTCGAGCTGCCCACAGACGTTGACCGCCGCGTCCCGCGCGCGGAAGGGCATGGCTTCGGAATGAACCCGACAGACGAGGAGACTCCGTTGCAGGGTTCTTCCCCCCCTTTACAAGTTCAGAGTGCCACTATCGACAAACCTGATTCGCGGAATCAATGGGTATTCTATTTCTTTCCGTACTATCCGTATACTCGCTCAGTCGCCAAAGTTCCCATACCAGATCTCGTCGTCGGGCCGCACTCCTTTCTCGACGCCAGGTAGACCACACAACCCCTTTTCCTCCTCGCTCACTTTCCAGTCCCTCGCCGTTTCTACTCTAGCCGCAATCACCATCATCATGCCCGACTCAGCATGCCATGCATTATGACAGTGGAATGCCCACATGCCTGGGTTGTCCAGGACGACTCTAATGACAGCCCATCCGTATCCCTGGACGGTGACTGTGTCTCTTCTCAACGGGTTTGCCAGAACTCCAGAGGCGGTCAGCTCTTCCTCCAGCTCGGTGATATTCTCGGGGGGATATCCCGTGGGCGATTGCTTCAGCACGAAGAACTTGTGCCCGTGAAGGTGGAACGGGTGAGCGCCGTCGTCGAAATTGCTGATGACTATGTCCACAGTCTCGATCCCCGTTGTCTGGTACACGAACTCCTTCTCCGGGTCGAAAGCGACTTCGTTCACTCCCGTCATCTGAGGCAGTGCAGTTTCATTTTCTGCCTGCGCCGTCTCCATGATGCGGTACAGCGTTGGCGACGTGACGTTCCCATGCCACGTCGACTTGTTGAAGAAGCCGCGAGATAAACGCCAGGCGCCGATTTCGAAGTTGGCACGGAGGTACATGGACGCCGTCGTCGCTGGTGCTGCTATTGCTTCAACGGGTTGAAGAGTGCTGGTATCCATGTCACGGCAATCGACATCATGCGCTTCACCCCAACCTTTCGTTTGTGGCTCTTTAACAATGGCGGCATGTTTCGACGTCTTTTTGTAGCTAATGATGCCTCTGACCTCAGGATCGAGCCACTGATTCTCCTTGGCGAAGCAGTGTGTGACCATTCTGGCACGCATCCAAAAAGAGTCTGCAGTTGTCACATTGGTGTCGATGACAACGCTGTAGCGCTGTGCAGGGAGGATGTTCAGACGATGAAATGATGTCGATTCAACTTGGGTGCCGTCGACCTCGGTAACGTGGAATGGGTGCTCGTCAATCTCAACTTGGAACTCTGCAAATGCGCCAGTGTTGATGAAACGGAGGCGGTGCTTTTGACCTGGAGTCAGGTCGAATGAGGCCAAGGATTCCAGCTGAGAAACTTTGTTCTCGCAATGCCAACCGTCAAAGTCAGCGCAGTTACGGTAGTTCTGCCCGTTGATGAGACCGCTGGAAGGCACAGGCTCATCGTTCTCTTGGTCCGGTTGGAGATAGTCCATGAGCAGCTCGGCCGAGGTATTGTGGTAATGATCCTGGATCATGACCACGCGGTCACTCGCGTACGCGTCTGCTTCCTTCTTCTCATTCCGAGAGTGCACGACCATCGGACCAAAAACTCCATCCGACGACTGGGCGCTGTGGTGCGCATGATACCAATAGGTCCCCGACTGTCCGTCGACGGTAAACTGGTAGGTGAAGGTTGCGTTGGGGGCGATTGGGCATTGTGTGACGCCGACAGTGCCATCCATGGAGTTTGTGCCATTTTGGAACATGCCGTGGAAGTGGATGGCAGTGGCGTTGGCTGCCTCATTATGGACATGAACGATTATGGTGTCTCCCTCGTTGCACTCGACAAGCGGCCCGGGGAATTGATTGTTGATCAGAATCATTGGTCGGAAGATGCCATCCGGGTTGAAGATTGCGTCTCGAGTAGTCCAGTGATATTCTCTGACGCTCTTTGCTGATGCGTAGTCCCATGATGAGCTGAGAGCATACTCTGATGAGTCTCTAAGACGTGGGGTTGGAGGAATCTGTTCATCGATGGTGTGTGTTGGTGTCGCTGCATTAAGACGGGGAGCGCCTGGCAAAAGTCGGTCGAAGACGAAGAAAATCAGAAAGAAGACAAAGACGCCGAAAAGACTTGCTGCAGCGGATACCGTGGTTTTCCATGATGAGCCTTGTCGATACCGTCCGCGATTTCCTACCTCGTTATCGCTCTCGTCGTGAGTGAGGAAAGGCGACTTTTCCGTGCCATCTTCTCTGCTTGAGCTTGAAGGCGAGACATCTCGGCGATAGCCATCGTCGCTCTCCGAAGACAAGGAGCTTGGACTCGACGGCCTATCTTGCCCACTCTGTCGCTCAACGTCCATGGCGTGCATCGCATCCCATCGTCGTGGGCGTTGTCAAAATGGGGTTGTAGGGAAGACGTTAGAAGTAGCCGAAGGACGCCACATGCTGACTTGCCTTCAGAGGAAGGTAGCAGCAGATGGCAGCTGGAGAGGCGAATTGCATGCATGTTACTCTGTGCGGGTGAATCGGCATCTTAGCGCCAACACGTGCCCAAAACAGAAGTGACTGATGGCTCGACCCTGCTGGACCTTGATGAATGCACCTATTATTGGACACTGACAGACAAAGAGGGGCAGCGATTCCGCAAACGTTGGGGTAAATACAGAGTTACATGGTGGCATGACCCTTTAATTACATATGTTGGGGTGGCCACGCTCGTAACATGAATGCAAAGAAAGACCGACGAACTTGGGATGTATTCTTAACAGACCGTAATACATTTCTGAAAATTTGACATTGAGGACGTTAGGCGCGGTAGTAAAAGCAGAAGGCACGAAGTAGAAGAAAAAACAATTCCAGTAGCCTTCATAGTCAAGATCAAAGCAATTGACCTAGTTTGAACTACTGGACTTGGAAGTACTAGAACCACGCCGTATACATCAAACGTAGTGGATGTCATTCGCATATTTTTTTGCTTGCATCTCGACGCGATAAGAAACCGTTTTCGGTGCGCCTTTTCTGGCTCCGAACTCGAGACACTGCGGCCGGCCGAGTCGGTCCACCTTTGCGGCCCCGCTCTGACCGACGCCACGAACATACCGTCAAGGTATCTGTGAAAGTTTCAATGATTAAATGACTGCATTTCCATACAGCCTTGCGGGAAATATCTTGAGATACCGTTTCTGTCTTTCCCGCCAGAATTTTCCTAGGAACTTGAACTTGCGCAACAACCCCTACGATGGCTTCTTCCCAGCTTCCGTTGATCGACAAAGAGAAGTCTTCTCTTGAAGACGAGTCACTCTCCAAGGCCCATACAAGCTCAATCGTCATCAAAGGCATCCTAAAGCTTCTCTGCTTCGGCCGCAGCATTTTCGCAGAATGGGTTGTCTACGTCTTGGTCTACAGCTCAATAGGCGCCATCGTCACGTTCTTTGTGTTTCTACCTTTGGACTTGACATGTGCATTCAAGGATGGCGATTATGAGCGTGGCTTTTTTATTCGCTTGAACGTCATGCTCTTCGTCTTTCCTACCGGCAACTTCGCATTCGAAGCATTCCCAAGAATCCCACTTGGCACAAAGGTTCTTTTGGTGGGGTTATGGACACTTACGGTCCGTCCCTCACTAGCTCTTGCTGGATGGATTGTCAACAAGCGTCTTCCAGCCTACACTCTTCCTGCGGAAAAGTACCCTCCGATTCGGTGGAGCTTCGAGTACTTGTGTTGCGTCGCCAATCAGCATCATCTCTTCATCCCAGACCCAGAGTTCTACGTTCGTCAAGCCATACGTATCATCACCAAACGAGTCTCGTCAGATTCTTACCAACTTGGTAGCATGTCACTAGACGAGCACGACCAACTACGAACCTTTTCACACATCTATTGGACAGTCATGGACCAGTATTGGGAAGAAGGCTGGCCAAAATTGCCCATTCCCGCCATTAAATATGGGGAAGTAGCGCATTTGATATGTGCAGAAAGGATTTTAAGCCAGGTAGATAGAGGCTTGCCTTCATCAAGATCATTAGGGATGCAGGCAAGATGGGAGTATCCATTTTTCTGGAGAATGTATGTTCTTGTTCTGGGCTACTGGATGTTGAGGGTGCACGGGGAAATCAGTGCGCTGGTTTGGTCCTATTGTGAAGACGGTACTTCCTGCGCGGAGGAGTGGTATGAGAAATATGCGGTGCTGACCCCGCCGGTATAAGCGCCTTGGGATGATACATGGTTGGGTTGGAATAGAGAAATAGTCATCAATACTGGCTGGAACGTCACTGTCTCGTCTATTAGATACAATACCACCTGCTCTTACTCTTCCACCGCTGCTAAACGTTTTGAGTTCTTGACTGTGCTATTCGTGAGGAAACAGATAACAGGGCAATAGTAGGGATGAGTTCGAAGAGAACGACGATCATATTAACAAGGACAAGGACAAGGACAAGAACGACGACGACGACGACGACAGTAGCGATAATAATGATAATAATTGGGATGATAACAAAAGGAATCGTTTATTAACAAGAGATGTGTAGTGACTAGCCTGGGTAGCTGGAAGCATCTGCCCGGATAGGAGAACTCAAATTAATTCTTGTTTTTCCTTGTTATGCTTATCATGACGTCGTCTCTACTACTGTCACTTTTTGTACATGTCTTCATTCCTTCCGTGGTCCCCAGCTTTACCCTTTCCGATGTGAAACCCTTTCAAGTTATCATTTCTCCCTTCTAAGTTTCTCGTCATACCTATTTTATTATAGCAGGTTACCGCCTGCGGGCACACCTTAGTGACTGCCGTATGACTTAGCCATCAAATTATATTGGTCCGTTGGACGTACGAGAAAAAGGACTAATTGGATGCAATAAAGAAAGGCGATTGTCTACACATTGCCGGCACTGCCTCCATTGATGTCGTTCTACACGCACTCTTCCAAGATCCCACTAGACTCAGTCTATTTTTACTTCTTAACGGCCTAATCATGAATGTCGAGTTACGAAATCCAGTGTCAAGTTGGTGGCTTGCCGTGCCCAACACAGTGCGCGTCTGCCGGATACGCGGCTAATTAACCCACTAAAAGCCACCAAAGCGAAATGCGTCTTAAACACCACGTGGGTGGGCGTCGATATCAATTGGCCCAGCCTCAACACAAAGAACGCGAAGACAGCGCATCCAGCGAGCGAATGAGAAACAAGACAATTCCGCATGTCAAATCCTTCTGTACATGCTGCACAGGTACCTCATCTACTGCACAGTCGTTTCCCCCCCGCTCGCGCCCCGCCCCGCCAACTCCGAGCGACGCTACCCCCGAACGGCAGCTGAGGGACTTGGCCCCCTGCGCCTGGACCTGGATGGCAGCATGTCACTCTTCAAAGACGGTGGCTCATTGTTGGGAGGAACACCTGCCGGATTCCCGAGAGCGGAAGTGTCCGCCTTCCGACCAACATTGATTTAATACACTCCGTTGCGTTGACAGCGTCCGCCCCCCCTTTTTGCCGAAATTACGCACGCATAATCCCTGTATATACATGAAAATTTGCCCAACGCCACGTAGATATTCGTAGTACGGCAATTGACCTATTCTGATGGCTTCAATTGATCTATTTCTATTGAATCTCATTATCTGAGGGCATCGTGATGCCTCCTAAACGCCGCCGCGCGGCTCGGCAGGCGGATGATGACCCTTCTGGGCATCGTCCGTCACCCATCGCCAACGGTACGCGGAAACAACGACGTATACAACAACTGGCACAGGACGCCGCCAGAGATCCTCCTCAACGCTCTGCCTCGCCGTCGATCAGGATCGTTACGCCCGCCGAGAGGGCTCGCCGGGCTGCCGCCGCCGAAGAGGCCGCCGAGGAGGCCGCCGAGGAGGTTATCGTCGCCGAGGCTGGACCCGAGACTAATGATTTGGTGGCGGCTGAGTCTACATCGCGAAGAAAGCGTGTACTTATAGCCCCTCCGTCATCACGAAGAGCTCCAAAAGCGTCCTCTCGCCAAAAAGCAACGACAACGCAGAGGAAGCGAAAGAAGGATCCGCCGCATACGATCCGGCTCCGAAGTACTCTGCCTTCGTCGATGCCACCGTTTCGACCAGACTCGACCCCAGTTAACCCAACCCCTCGTCAAACCACTCGATTTGCGGACGATACGCCTACGGCCCCTCGCCATAGCGCTGATGATACGTTTATGTCGTTCCACGATGTATTTGAAGAGGAGGACGATATGGGTAACGAGGAACCAACTCTGCTACAAATCCAGGTTACCCGTGGCCCAGCGCTCAAGGGTAACGGTTTACCTGTTCTCGATCTAACCATCGAGAGCATCGCGTATAACAGATTCAGTATTGCTCCTGTATTAGATGCGAATAGTAGAGACTGGGAGGCAGACAGCGGCGCCCAACTTGAGGCAGAAGTGGCTCACTCGTATATTGTGAAGAAGGCCAATATCGCTGTTGTCGTTGCTTGGAGGAAGCCCACCAACGCATCTAAACCAACACCAATCTTCACTCGGGTCTATCCGTCTACTGGAGGGGTCACTTGGCCAAGTATTCCATGGGTTGATATTGTCCCCTCTCTTGAACAAGCTGAAGAGAGGGGTGAAGTCCACCTCACCGTCAAGTGGCAATACAGCGCCGTACCAATCTCTGGTGGTATAGTGACTGGCGTACGAACGCCTCGAAAAGGTGGCCGAGCAGGCGTTTCAGCCGGCATGCAAGAGGCGATCGATCGTGAGGCTAACGATCCTGCAAACGTCGAGCGTCGGAAGGAGGGTATGCACAGACAACTTCTCCGTACGCACATCTGCCCAGAGTACCAGAGATGTAAGAATAGTTCGGGCGACGAGAAGTTCAACTGGTGCTATATACTAGGCCAGAAGCACTACAAGATCAAATCTCACCATATAGAGAAGTGGGCGAAGGCTATTATGACTGGACAGGCTGGCGTTGACAATATGGAACCACCTAAAGAACTGCTTGGTGAGATTCTTCACGACCAGTTTATAGAGGATCAGAAACGCCAGGGCAAGAGAAGTAAGAATATCGTGGAGGTTGATGATAACCAGGAGACGACAGTGATGACGGAAGAGAAGGCTGAAAATGCCGCACTTCCATCATCAGGGTCAAGATCTGGCCTAACCAACGCCAACAGCAACGCCATCGTCAATATATACGGCAACGCGGGGGCGCCAGATCGTCATCTTCAATATCCTAACCCATACGTACAGCTGCCGCCGCCGGCGCCGCCGCCGCCGGCATATTGGCCATATGCGAACATCTCACAGTATTCGTTGCCAACTCTTCCGCCATTGAACCTTCCAAGCACTCGTCAACCAAGTATCGCACTCCCGATTCGTTCGTCCTCGCCAGTGGTACCGGATTCGCCTCGAAAAGCTCTAGATCAAGTGGCCAGCTTCATCAAGTGGTTTATATCCGTCCGCGGCAAGCGATATAACGTCGACGAAGGGTTCAGAAAGAAGCTACAGAAACTGCGATCAGTAGACAGTAGCTTGCGGGCAATTCGCAAGTTACCAGATATTTGGTTTACTGAACAGGGTTTTACTCAAGATCTTACCGAAGATGTCAGGAACTCGATCAAATCCTTCATAGACAACAGCGCCTACTACGGAGGGCAGTCTGACGCCCTCTCCGACGTGGTATCTCACTCTGAACTTCATTCAAACCATCGAGAGTCAGAAGGAGATGTTTATACAAGAATATACGCTGGATTGCCAGGAGGGACGGCGGCGGCGCCAGTTGAAAACTCTGCGGCGCTAGTTTCAGGCGAGTTGGGGTCATCCCGACATATCGACGCCCTAGTGCCACGTCAATCCATCGAGCAAGAGATCCGTGGTACGCCAGTTGAAGTTGGTCGACGTGGTGAGTGTATATAGAGCTGTTTACTGTCGAATATGGCTAACTTTGTAGGCGTTTCGGAACTCTTTGGTTTCGTTTCGTCACCACTGCTGTCAGCGTCGCAGATGCTGCCCACGCAGTTACAGATCGAACAAGACGAAATCGAGCAAGGCGATGAGGACAATCAGATTGAAATCTCGAGTGATACGTCGTCAACAGAGACGTATTACTCGGAGGAGGATAACGAAGAAGAGTGATACAGCAAGAGTGGTGTGAAGTTTGACTGTATGCGCGATTTTTTTGCATGACGTGTTCAACCACGGAAAAGTCTACCCATAGCCGTAGATTCAACACTGCCGCTCTATACGTATAAAAGCAATAGAATTACTGTTATTTTGGATCTGCAAACAATACACTTCGGTCCATCCCGATACTGGTTAGGGGCAGTTGAAGTCTCTGACTATGGTTGAAGTCTCTGATCGTGATGACGTGTCATCATCACAAATCATCGTCACAAGCATCAACAACGCGTTTCAGCCGTTATACAGGCAAAATTGATATGTATACGTAGCTACCGACGAAAACAATGGACGACGGTATATTTTTTGTGTTCTGGTGCGCTTGTGGCTAACCTTTTGGCAATCTTGTTGGCTACAATCATGGATTTGATGATTGACCATCATATGACGACACGATTAAGATCTATTGCGCGCGAACGCACGATGAAAATTTGGATTGCTTGCTGATGTTCAATATTGGCAGCAAATCCTCCCTTTTATAGTTCGATATCGTCAAATATATGCTCTGTCCCATCAAAGTTGACGAACGAATGGCGGAAATGGCCCTCGATCTGGGGTAGACGATACCCAATCTCCATAGCGCAGTCACGTAGATATTCCATGAAATCCCGAGTGTCATTCTCATCGTTGTTCCACTTCGAATACGTCTTCCTGATGTATCGCTTTAGATCGCCGAAGTACTCTTCGATGGGGTTGAAGTCTGGTGAATACGGAGGCAGAAACTCGAGATGGACACCTGATACCCGGCATAAACCCTCGATTTCAGGTATACGATGGCAGGAGAGGTTATCCATAACGATGACAGAGTTTGGCTCTGGAAAACGCCCACATTTCGGGATAAGGCACTCCTGTAGCCAACGAAAGAACCCATCGCCGTCAGTCGTACCATAATACGTAGTCAAGTGTAGGATACCGCTCAACGTGAGGGCTGGCAGGATCTGTACGCGAGAGTTCTGAAACCGATCAATCTCTGCAGTTCGAAACGCAGCAAGCCCTTTCGGCGCCCATCCAGTCCTCCGTATCCCAGTATCCTTATTGACGCCGGATTCGTCGACGAATAC